ATGTCCGCATCTGCACCTCTAAAATGGACTTTCTTGCAACACCAGCACTCCTTGGCCCCTACATAAGAAAATGGCAAAGTGTTTAGACATATGCAATGAGTCAGTTCTGAATGTTCCCTGTGCATTCCAGCTATCCTTTACTTCTAAACAAATACCACTATTTTCACAATACAATGTATAAACTAAACCAGCACACGCTTTTGCAGAAAAAGCAAAAAGGCCTTTAACAAGAAAATGATGAAATCATGAGAAGTTTATTAGCATTTAGCAGAGTTAGTAATATGAAGTATCTCCAATTTACAACGTGCTCAAAGGAATGAAGAGTGCAAAAGATTTTTTAATTACATTTACATTTACAATATGCAAAAGTTTATAAGATTGTCACACTGATAAGCTGATTAGGTTGTTACACTCACCAAAATCGGAAGTCTGCCGGTAGGAAATTTCCAAGTTTAGCGTCATGTTTGGTCTTCAGTATCTGCTTGACGAGGTCCTTCTTCGCGTTACCGTAACCGTTGAAGATGTGGTCGCAGAACAGTAGCTTACCGCTGTAGTACATCAAGAACATGCCCGCCACCGCGTTATGTCTACGCAGCAGTAGCGGCTGGTCGTAGTCCGTTAGTTCCGCCGCGACCGCCATGTCGTACTTGAATATTCTGAAGGGATCGGAGCGACTCTGCACGCAGGGCATCGTCCGGTTCTTGTTCCGGTCGATGTACATCCGTTCCAACATGGCGTCGCATGGGTTAGCGTTTGTGTAGTACGTCGAGGTGACCGCGATGATGATTAACTGATTCTTGGGGAGAAACTCCTTGAGAAGACGGTCGAACTCCAGGTCCATGACCAGGGGAACTTTGTGCTTGCTACACTTGCAGGCGAGGATGCCCTCTCCTAGGATCTCTGCACGTAGCGAGACAGGACAGCCCTCCCGTAGCGGAGTACGCACACGCTCAGGGGTGGACAGGTTGGCATGGCTGGCACTCTTGGGGAACAGGCTCGAGGGAGCTCGCATTGGAGACCTAGGGTACAACAAAAGGGTTTTGATGAATTTTCAGATGGCACAATTTTTTTTTCAGATGGCTAAACATGCAAAAAGGGCATACTGTAAATCCCTTTATATTCTTGGTAGCAAAATTCTGTCTGAGAAAAATGGACATGTTAGCAGAACTACATGGTGTTCATTTTCCAAAGAAAGTCAGTGAATTATTCGTTTGTGGTAATAATAAATTTGCAATAAAGAAGTGACCAACAAAACTGCAAGTATAAAAGTACCGGGAATATAAAGTGATTTACAGTATATTGTTGTTTTTTAAAGGTAAATCAAACTGCAAAAGGGACGTTAGAACACTATATTACTAAGGTACATGAAAATAAGCTGATGATGGCACAAAAAGTACTTGAGACAGAGATAAAAACACAAATTTACCAGATCAAAGAAAATCCAGCTTCAAAAGAGGTTTGAGAGTCCTTACCCTGCACTAGAAGTGGACTGTTGCCTTGTCTTAGCAGACCCAGCCTGCGACTTGGGCTCTCCCTCTTTTGCACTTCCTAGATCCATGCGCACTTTGGAGTCTGTTTCCCCCTTTCTCGACAATCCATCTGCCGAGCTGAACGGCCGCGAGGAGGCCGCCGTCAGCGGTCTCTCCTGTATCATGTGTCGCGGTGGCGCGGATGGCGAGCGGAACGACTGGTGCTTTGTCGGAGGGTTTCTCTCCTCCACCTTCTCCCCTCCCTCCCCCTCCGCCCCATCCTCCTCCCTGGGTATCTGGTGGAAGAGCGAGATGATGGGAGTCTTGACGGCGGGCCGGGCGGACTGGATGGTGCGTCGGGCGGACTGCTTGCCGGGACGGTGGGACAGCGTGGCTAGGTGAGGGGACTTGATGTGCATGGCGATACGATAGTGCTCCATCCAGTCATCAATCAGGTTCCTGTGCATAGGAAGATGGAAGGAAGACATTAATACACTGGCTTTGTGAGCTTGACTTCAGTTTGCAACAATATTCCAGCCAGCACCTGTCTTTACCTCAATTGCGGGAACTTTGTGGCGTGTGATGGAAACTTCTTTAAACCAATTCGTCAACCTTAAAGAACAAACTTGGCAAAAATCTTGAAATGTAAAAACATCAAAAGGACTACCAACAACCACTCTCAACCCCATGATTTGTCTCTCAAAATTGTGGGAAATTGCGTTTTTGAAGGCTTGAAAATCCAAAATTTGCCCTCAGACCCCCCTAGATTGTGAGCACTCTCCCCCCAGGTCTGATCATGAACCTGGGCTAAGGGGAAAAAATTTGAACTGACTAGAGCCCTGGTTTGCAAACTGTAACATGGTGGTGATGAGGTCTTACAGTCAACAGGACATGCACTGTCCTTGGTGCTGAAAAAGCAATGACTGACTTTACAGCTAAGTCATTGTTGTATGGATGGAAGATGAAAGGAAGGCATGATATACACTGGTAACGTTAGTGATGAAGTCAATGCGACATGACTGTCCTTCGTGCTGAAAAAGTTACTACCAACCAATTTCTTAGCTAAGATTGTTTAAAATCATCATTAAAAGCCTAGGACTGTCCTTTATTTCATGGCTTACGGTAGTATCAAGAGGATCAATGTGTGCATCAGACATTTTAGACATTCTCTATTAAAATTTCCATGCATCAATTACGTGTACATTATAATTTCAGTGTCTGGGCAGTCTCTAGAAGACAAAAGAAATACTGGTGATGCCATTCCAATCATTATAGTGTTTGTAGAAAACAATGTCAAAATGGATCCTAAGACTCAAATACTAAGTAATATAACTTTATTTCAAATGTTAAAATGTTCAATGAAGCAATACGATCCAATATAACATTGCTGTTCACACATCGAGCAAATGCTAACGTCACTGTTCAAACGTCCAACTGGGCAAACACACATTCTACAACTTGATTTACCCTCCCTTTAAATTCTAAGTATAATATGTATAACTTCTTACTTGACTTTCCGCTGAAGTCTGACCAGGTCCTTCTCTGCCTGGGAGAAAAACTCGTCCTTGTCTCCGGGTAACTCCAGAATCTTGGTCAGCTCAGCGATCTGCTGGGAAACTCTCTTCTCCTGTGGACAGTCAATACAGTTTTAATGTAAATATGGGCTGTACAGAACATCAGAAGATTAGGCCACACCAATTTAATTTGTTGGTTCTCGGATTTTTTCAGGAAAAATATGAAGCGACAGGGCGAAAAAAAAATAAAAATAAAAACAGGTCTAGGCATCCTATTATATAGCTTAAATGCTATGAAATGAGCCATGAAGTCAACACAAAAGGCTGGGTTAAAATTTAAACATTGAATTTTGAACTTTTAATCAAACCACTGCAATGATAGATGGGAAAACTGCAACAACTAGGAAGAAAAGGACTTTCCTCAATTGTTTGGGGCAAAACATGAGCATTTTTCAGTTGATTCAGGACCAGAATCAATTTTTTTTTTTTTTGCAAATCAGAAAGAAACAAAGAGGCGAATCCGAGAACCAACAAATTAAATTGGTGTGGCCTTACTATTAGCCCGAAAACTTAAAGGGACATTGTGTAACACTTTTGCACCAGAAATTGAAACATTTTATTCAAGAAAATTTTCGTGCGATTGTAATTTGCTTTCACCTTTTAACAAATCTTTGGAATTATCTAACAATTCTAACATTTATATACGATTGGTGCTAAACCAGAGGCAAAGTATTGTACCAGAATGTAAACAAAAATAGTTGACACTTGTGTTTAAAGTGTTTGAACACTCCGATGCATTTGTTATTTGAAATGGAGTTGGGATGACTCAACGTACTTTGTAAAGAGATGACCAAATTTACTTGTTGTATGGTCCTAATGTTACATAATGCAGAATTGTGTTCATTCAGCAATCCAACGATCTTAAACAAAGGAAGTAATCAACAACAACAAGGGCGTAGAGATAAACATTATAATCACTGTGGCCTACAACAAATACTGTAGAGAAATGTCCAGTTCTCTTTTGTTACAAGATCTCTTGCTAACTGAGTAATAATTATTTTTTTCTGATGTCTAACTGACTTGCCTCCAGATTGCCTGCACTATCTGATGCTTGTCTACCGGATGTTTCGCATTTGCCTGGGACTGAGTCTTTCCAAATGGAAGCTTCTTGGTCTTTCCTGTCCTGAGCAGTCCTCTCCTTAGCTGACCCTGTCCTATCCTGACCACTCCTGTCCTTAGCTGACCCTGTCCTTTCCTGACCACTCCTGTCCTTAGCTGACCCTGTCCTTTCCTGACCACTCCTGTCTTTTGCTGACCCTGTCCTATCCTGACCACTCCTGTCCTTAGCTGACCCCTGTCTGACCCCTGCTACACTGTCCCGAGGTGTAACCTGCTTTTCACTGTCCTGTCTAAACTGGACACTGCCTCTGGCTGAGTCAGGTCTGTCTAAGTCCTTTTTACTACCAGAAGAGGACTGCTTTCTGTCTCGCTCCTTTTTGTTAGCTGAAGCCCTAGCCCATCTTGACTAAAGAAAAAACATAATGTGTTCCATTTTTTTTGCGAACATTCTACAATTATAACAAGTTCTTGCATGCTTGTTACAAAGTAAGTTGTGGACACAAACTAGTCTACTTTTTACTACCAGAAGAGGACTGTTTTCTGCCTCGCTCCTTTTAGTACATTTGTAGCTGAAGCCCTAGCCCATCTTGACTAAGGCCACACCACTTTAATTTCTTGGTTAACGGATTTGCCCGCTTCATTTTTTTCTGATTTGGAAATAAAAATAAAAATTCAGAATCAACTGCAAAATGCTCATATTTTGCCCTGAACAGTTGAAAACAGTCCTTTTCATCCTAGTTGTTACAGTTATTCCATCTTTTAATGCAATTAAAAGTTCAAAATTCATAGTCAAAATTTTGAGCCAGTCTGGTGTGTTGACTTCATGGCTCCTATCGTACCATTTTGGGCCATAATAGGATGCCTAGGCCTGTTTTTTAGTTTTTTTTTTTTTTCGCCCGCCTGCTCCATTATTTTTCTAGAAAAATCCGTTAACCAAGAAATTAAATTGGTGTGGCCTAAAGAAAAAACATAACTTGTTTGCTAACATCCTAAACTTCAATGACAATAAGTTCTTGAATGCATGTTACGGAGTGAATTGTGGACACAAACTACATGTACACTAATTTTACAACATCAAAGGCACAGAATTTGAAACAAATTTGATGCAGCAATGACTTTGACTTTGTGATGGCTCAATGAACCTCTCACCTGTTTTTCCAACCATGAATATGGAAAGCTGCATTTCCATGGTGCAGTGTGCAGATAAAATGATTGGTTAAAGTTCACACAAAGCTTCAAATACTCACAATAGTGAATATGTGCATATTTCTGTTACATTTCACTTTTTTTGTGTGTTGACACCTTCCTGCTATGAGTTCTCTTATAAACTTAGTGTTGGTTACATGAAGTTAACTACTGTATAGCATATAGAAATAGACTGATCGAATTGAAAACACCAACAGACATCATATACAGTACAAGGCACTTCTGGGTGAGTTGCTAGCTATATGCTACAGCTACAAACACTCAGGATACAGAAAAAAAAGGAGAGGCTCAAAGATGCATCCTTGAGGTACACCCTTATCAACATACCTTTGGTTTGATAAAGCCTCTTCTCAATCTGTCCTTGTCCTTCTTCTTGCTGGGTTTGACTGACTCTTTGGCAGCTTGGGAAATGAACGGCCCTTCTGTTTTCAGATAACCCTAAAAAAGGTAAAAGAAAAAGTCCCTTTAGATATCATACTGTATCTTCAACAAAAACTTTACTTACAGATACAGAGCCACTGAAGGTCTTACTATTATAATTATATAACAAACTACAGTATTAGTATATGCATGATAGACAAGAGACATGCTTTAGATATGCAGTGGTAACTGCAAATCTCAATTGTTCACAGTACTTTTATATTTGCGGTCACTTCTGTACCACAAACTTATCATTACCATGAACAAAATTACTTTAATTCTTTTTTGCCTGGGACTTGATTTATTGATTGATAGATTGATTGATTGGTTGATTGATTGATCGGTTGATTGATTGATTGATCAATTGATTGGATTTTTCTGCACCTGCTGCCACCGCAAAGGTATAGTTCTGCGAGCATATACATTTTTCTCAAGCCGTGAACTTTTGCTACGGCGAACATCAAGTGATTTACAGTACACAGCAAAAGTCCTCGACATCATCTATTGCTAACACTTTTGAACAAGACAGGTTTAAACAGTGAACAACATGACTAAGTTCTTACCATTTCTTCCAGCTTTGGCTGCACAGCCCCGGTGTGAAGCCCAACGTTAAACTTTGCCGTCTCTTTCTGGCAGGCGAAGTGTAGGACGACTGAGGACAGGTTGGTACACCGGAGTAGGAGCAACTCAGTAACCTGTGCAGAAAAAATGATTTTTTATGCTTAATATATCAAGGTATCAAGGTATCCAACGTATGGTAAAATAAAGACATATTAATTTTCTGCAATGTTGATTCAGTTTATAACCATACAGTGACTATTATTCTTATCAACAAATACTGTACACCAACACTCACTGTCAAATCCATATAAACTTCTGTCATATATCCATGAATAATTTCAACAGGTTGGTGAATGATCGAATAGCAAAGTTTTTTATTCACAACCCCTTGTTTAGGAAAAGACGGTCATCAAAATGCTGAATCTTGTTTAACAAGTGGTTGTGAATAAAGAACTTAACTGCTATAATTTCTCATTTTTCCTCCACACTTTTAAATTCACTGTGGTTTTCACGATCAATTCTTTACCCCGAACTTCATTACCGTTAAGAAATAATTCACCAACTTTCTTTTTTCTGCACCTGCCGCCACTGTGAACATATACATAGTTCCGTGAACATTTTTCTTAGACCTTAAACTTTTGCTACAATGAACATAAAATGAATTACATTAGTCAATTCTGTCATACAGAATGTGACTAAACCTTACCTGGACATTGACCGTCACCGGCAGTTTCCCCACTTTCGGCCAGGACCACTGTTTGGAGATGGTACCGTCAGGTTCCATGAGCATGCCTCCCTCGGGACTCATGACGTAGCGCGGGACACCGTTGGGATGGTAGCAGCAGCCGTGTCCGGAGGGCGTGAAGGACGCCAGCATGGTCCCCTGGAGGTTGTCTGCGTACACGTTAGTGTAGAGACCCAGCTGGCCGGGTTTGGTGGGAGGGCTGATGGAGATGGCCACTCGACCTGAAGGGTAGCTGGGAAGGGCTGTTAAGGCAATAGACCGATCCTGATCGAATGCATCGAACTCCCTGTTCTATACATGTATCAAACACAGCAGGCAAAATCTAAGAGCAGCAAAATGACTTGATAAAGACTCCTTGTTTTACAGGTGAAACTGAATTTGTGGCATCGGAGGCGTTTTATTATTCTTGTATTTGTTTATCAAGCTACTATAATAATATCATTATTGTTTATGTCCCTGTTTGCGAGCTTATTATGTTTCTACTCGTATCACAAAGCCTTTACAAGTTGCGCCCTTCCTCATGAGCACCCAAGCTGTTTTCTTCTAATTTCATTTTTTTTCCTGGGCTTGTACACATGTAGGTAGCGGTGATGCATGCAGCAAATGCAGTGGAAAACCTGTCACAGATAAATATACTCTGCCTAACGTATGCATCGGCTGTTTGTCAGCAACTGGGCACTCTTGTCCACCTACCGTGTGACTATTTTACAGGATGCAGGACAGAGTTGGATTAGAGTCAACATCGTCTGTTTGAGTAAGAATAAACAGAGCAGTCCTTGGTTAGGCTACACCATGTGAAGGTAAACGTATTTACTTTTTCTTTCTAGTCTTATTACAAAATTTGAAGGATACAAGACAGAGCAGGACCCGTCCGGCAGTTGTCTCATGAGCTTCAGCCTGCCCTGTTCCACGGGACTGTCCATTCTGGGGATCTTAGGGGGGGACATGACCCGTGCCCCCGGTTTCTGACTGGGCGGCGGCTGCTTCTTGTACTTCAGCATGGCCTCTCGTTTGGTGTCGCCGTAGTAACGGATGATGAGTGGCTTGTCGTGACCCAACGCAAGTGCCTTTTCATGTTGTTCAGTGCTATTGGGGTAAAAACGTATATATATTGCACTCAAAAGATACGGTATTTATGAAATAAAACCCAGCAATTACTGCAAAACGTCAAGACAGTCTGTGTCTTTTCATGTTGTTCAGTACTACATGTACTTCATGAATTAGGATTAAAAAAAGTAGACTTTAATGCATTGAGAGATGGTATTTATGAAATAAAACACAAGCAATTACTGCTGAACATCAAGTCATCTACAACAACATTAAAAGATAGAGGTGGTGATGACATTGTGTCATTGGCATCAAGTCAACAACATGAAAATATGATACCGTAATTACTGATTTTTTTTGCAGTACTTTTATGTTCACGGTTGTTTCTGTACCGCAAATTTGCCCAAAATGTCCCAAGTATGAAATACTGAATGGAATGCTAATTTGGGGCAGTATGTATCAATATCATACAGATCGCCTTATGCATTTTTTTTAACGGTGTCGCTCGATGCAAGGCCAATTATTTTTGGCCACTTCTACGCATAGAGCTATAAGTATAGAACTGTAACAGCAACTCTTCTCCCTGAGTCAGAAACATCATGATTGAGACCAGCCCAATTTCTCACAAGTAGTGAGGACTAACTGACCCATTGGATGTCTTTAAGAACTTACGATATTTTGATGGAGAAGAGCAGTCTCTGTCTCGCCCACTCCAACATGGTCTGTCTCTCTGGGTCATCCCGCTCATTTGGGTGGACAATCCAGCCTGAAGAAGGGTCACAAACAGACGGTTCATAAACAGATAACATCCATACCAGTATGGCAAATATATCATCTTCATCACTGCGTAAAATTAATAGTACTGTTAAAGTCCCTTCTTTCTAAGAGAAGGATGTTAAAGCAGAAGTAAAATACTGTTGGGTAATGTTTTAGCTAGCCTGAAACCTTTTTCTGTCATCACAATTTTGTTTGATGTCAGATCATGTTGAGTGCCGAACGCACAACAATCCTCGTGGGTCCAGGGATATGCTCCCCCATAAAAATATTTGAAATCTAGACCCTCTGAAATGCTATTTCTTGCATTTTGAGGGGAAAATTTTGCTGGACAAAGCTTTTTAATGACATCTCTTTTCAGTTCTTCACACACTGATTTTTGTCTGTCAAAAATGACAGATTGGGTAAAATTATTGTCCATCGCGAGTAGCAAGTAGCGAGTAGCGAGTAGCAAAAAGACGGACACTGACTAGAACACTGGGTCTCATATAACTTTAAACCCAAGTAAAGATGACTGCTTACCCTTTTCTTCACAGGCCTTGTTGGCCAGAGAGAAGTTGAGAACAGACATGTAGCCAGCTGGTGTGTGGGCTGAACTGTATGGAAGAGCTAGAGGGGAGAAAAAGAGTACAAAAGTTACAAATCTTCTAACTCTACAACAGTTATCATTTTCAACAGTGCTGCCACTTAAAGAGAACTTCTTCGGTCAACATAAACTTGCATGAATTAGCCTTCCACAGTTGAACACAACATCATTGATTCTAAACACTGACATGTAATTCCTTGGGTGGGAGTCTTAGTCAGCTTAGCTTCCGATATATGTCCAGTAATCTCCAAGCAGTCATCTTTTAGTGGCCGCAATTGACCAGGCAGTATCCATATGTAAAGCAAATCTTTCAGTGGCCGCAAAGACACAGTATCAAAATGGCCAGACAGTATCCATTGGCCGAAAACAGATCTTTCAGTGGCCGCAAAGACACAGTATCAAAATGGCCAGGCAGTATCCATTGGCATACTGTCTGGCCAATAGATACTGCCTGGCCAATTTGATACTGTCTTTGCGGCCACCGAATGATATACTTGGAGATTGTACAGCAGTCATCAACCAAGGAAAATTACATATACACAGCTTCTCCTGCCTTAATATAAATGATTTGCCATACCAGAAAAACAGCAGTTGACTGGAAAACGTCCCAACAAGCATTCAAAATGAAGAAACTAGAGCAGTAACAATGGCACAGCTTACTCACAACCACAGAAAACACGTCAGCTTGTTTGCGTCCAATTTGCCGTCTGAATGACCCCAGTTGTATAACAATGTCCGGTTATTAATGAAAGGGCTGGTCATTCAACAAGTCTCAACAACCGTCATCTGTGCCCCGTGAAAACCTCCCATAATGCATCAGGCACCCAGGCAACCAATCACAGACCAGCTAGGTATGTGACCACACAACATGGAGAGAATACTAAGGGTCCCCAAAGGTCCCTCAGATTGCCAGATTTGCGATCTCTTTGTCATGGATGAAAGGGGATGAAGGGCTAGAGGAGTGATTGAGTGGGGTGTTTTCATGAAGAACTGCTGGATAATCGAGTGATCACCACATCAGGGTAGCTCTTGGGTCACTCCAGTGATGTCCTCATTAGAACTGATTATCGGAGTCTTAATTACACATAATTATGTTCCTAATTGACTGTCATCAAGGATAACAGTACTAATTTTGACACAGTAATGTTCAGTAACAATGTCTCAACATAGTAACATTACGAGTTACCCAAACTTTCTCTCATCATAGCCAATTTCCAACTACAGCTTGAAGAAAAAAAAATGCACTTCTCCAATAATTATATCTAATCCCAATGTATTTTCATCAAAACGGTAGACAAGTTGATGCAATATTATATATAGATCCTTCAGGAACAGAACTTCTCTGCTCTTTAAAAGACTAAAGCCCATTTCCCACTAGGATAAAATTTTTTCAGATTGAGCCAAATAGATTGGCGACAGGCTTCTATCTGGCTTCCATACAGTCAACTTAACCCCAGTGGGAACGCTCCCTATCCAGCCTGATTTGGGTTGATACAGCTCAGCAACGATTCACCTCGCAAGGTGGGTCGGTGTTGAGCCAGATGGAACTGGATTGGGAGTGTTCCCACTGGGGTAAAGTTGAATGGATCGAAGCAGATTAGCCAATCTATATTTGGCTTGATCCGGACAATTTTGTCCTACTACTACTAGTGAGAGAATGGCCTAAGTGTACCGTAGCTGTTCTTACCTGTGGACACATCGGAGGCCTGAGATCTGTTGTCGTAGAACATTCCGCTGGCGCGGGATGACATCAGCGAAACTTTCCGATCTGCACCAGCTGTAGGGACAAAACAAAACAGGTGTCACAAAAAAACAGAAACAATTGTTAGTCTAGTCAGGCCAGTTTTTGATTGAGGTTGATACATGTACAATCATTAAGCCATGTGGATCTCAGTCATTATGGATGACATCCACGCGCACATGAATTTTCACCCGTTTTTAAAAAATATATAGCTTTTGACCAAACTGTAAATCATACAAAGAAGCTGCAAATGAGCAAATATTTGCCATTGATTCAAAAGAACATTGGAAAATGATACGGATGTCATAGAATGCCAAAATTACTTAGCAAGAAAAGCAAGAAAATGTGAAGAAATGAAAATGATGAGTCTATTATTCACCATACTATATTGCGTGTTAAAGTCATTTGTTCAACCTTGCTTCGTGACAACGTTACATAGATTTCATAATGAAGGGAACTTTTTCCTTTTTTTTGCTTAACTGACAAAAACACTGATAGATATCTCTTCAGTACAAGCTATATTGATGGGTTTTCAAGCAATGGGAAAATTGCATTCTGATTCTGAACACCGCCTTTAAATTTTGGAGCATTAATTTTCTAAATTTGCAACCTGAATCTATAAAAGTAAGAATGTTACAGTAACTTTTCTTTATCATTAAATTCACCTTTAGCATGAAATTCTATTTAATGGTAAGTCTCTTTCGGTGTGATAAAAGTGTCAAGCATTATGTACTTCACATACTTAGTGACACCCAAAATGACCTTACTTGCCCATCTATGTCAAGGTCTAAAAGCTTTGAATTCTTGTTCTCTGAACAAACTACTGGTACTTTGCATTACAGATTAGCCTTCTGTCCAGATACTGGTGTATGGGGCTATGCCGATTATCATGTAGTTCATTGTTAACTTCATAACTCCAATGACTTCTTCCAAAAGAGTTAATTTGTGGCATATTTACATTTCTTGTTTTCATATTTACACTTCGAGTTAATTTTTTCCTTGGCTCCATTTCAAAATACCGACTGTCACCCAACTAACACCGTATCCACCCAGTCACCCTGAAAAGGTTGAAAAGTACATACAATCGTGCTGGCGCCCTGTTATATCTGTCAGAGAAAGAAAACAGGAACAGGATATGTGCTTTAAAGAGGGGTTATGACATGAGAATTGTTTCACACGGTTGAAAAAGAATCGCACAAAGCTGTCTGGGCAGAGAATTAAAAGCTGAACAAACGAGTCAAAAACAACGTTTGAACCATACTGGTTCGGAAATCCAGTTAAAGAATGCGGCGTATAAGTTCGTTGCGCTCCCTTTTGTCGCTCTTAATCCTTTAAAAGTGTTTTGAGTGATTGATACCTCTATCCCTCATTCGTCGCGCTACGCGTGAAGGATCAATACGATTTGTGGTGGCCGAGATTCGGCATGCAAATCGGACCCCTGTGTAAACTTTGCGGCACAAAAACGAGTGTGTACTTAACTCCTGCAATGGACCGCTTCTCGTCACCCTGAAAAGGACCCTTACAACTGGTTCAAAAGGTTCAGACAGTGTAAATGCGTCACAGTATCCAACACTCATGTCAGTGGTGACAACTATGACACTTTCCTGAACACCAAAGCATCATACTTGTATTGGAACACATGTATTATTAACTTTTGGATTGAGATTAAAAGCATTTGCTTTCAACGTATATTCTTCACAATGTTTTACGTAAATGTTTGGGTTGTCACTACAAAGAAATGAAGAAGAAAAAGAGAATCAAAGCACCTATTGGTAAAGAAAACAAGTCTACGAGTTGTTTGCACACCAAAAAAAACTGGCTTCCATCAAAGCTGTTCTTGGTTTTTCAGTCGGTAAAAAGGAAAAAGATATGTAAAATTTGTAACGTTATAGCTCACAGCCAGTAAAAAATGGTGCTAGAGTTCATATGAGTTGAGTCAAGTGTGATATAGTACTTCCCTGCAATTTAGCATGTTTTATCGCAAGCTAACGCAATACCCACACAAAGGTAGCCAACAGTGATTGTAATATATGGCGCACACTAACTCTATCAGGGCACATTCTTCCACAGATTACATGTTGACTTTCTGTTAAACATGAACCCAGCTTGCTTTCTGGCTGCACAGTTGGACCATTCATTGAAATAATCTTCATTAGTATGTACGTTTTTATAGTCTATAATTGAAAATGTGCTTCAGATTTTACTTCTATGCGAAGAAGTTGATTTAAATGTGAATGTACAGTCTTCTAATGCATTTATGGTTCTAGAACGATTTTGCAAAGATAATTTTACAGTCCCAACAATCAATCTTCTCATTGCAACCAACTTACAATCAAGAACTTTTAGTGTTGGCAACTATTCAAAAGCAAATTCCATCTTGAAGCTATGTTTAGCGCCATTCCCAAAACACAGTATACTACAAAGAAATCACAGTTCATAAGAAAATGTACATGTAATGCTACTATGACTGTCCAAAAAACAAATTTTGAGATACATTTATAAAGGAACTAAAAGTGCAGGGAAAGTATTATAGCTACATGTATGACGTAAAAGTCATTTTAAATTCCTAACTGACCAATTTGTCACCATGTCTCCATGATGTACTGTTTACCGTAGGCTGGGTAGTGGTGTTTGTCTGATTGAACTAATAATGTGTTATGGCCCTACTTTGGTTTAATCATTAATCCCACGCTAATTGATTTGTCACCATTTCTGATGGATTACAAAGTCTATCTAATTGATTGCCATGCTACTGTTAATTGGCAATTGTTTGATCTTTTCTGCAGTTTAATAAATTTATCCATGGAATATTTCAAGGTAATTTAGGCCTATGCAACTGACATACACCAGTTTTTTAGCCAGCGTGTGCCTTTTCATCATTTGACGGAATTTTGCCAAATCCGTCATATTTGACAGACAAAAATTAGTTGAAAAGATATTGAAAGAGATGTACTAAGCTTAGTCTACCAGCAAAATTTGCCCCTCAAAATCAGTCAAATTCAAAATGCAGGAAATACCTTTTTAGAGGGTCAAGATTTCTAAATTTTCCTGGCCCCCAATACCATTTTAGTATTTTCAGGCTTTGGTACTCAGAATTATGTTATATCAAACAAAAATATGAGCTAAAGAAATAGACTTACTAGTAGTAGTCTTTGCTGTTTTTGTTACTAAAAGCTTTTTTTTTCATGCCATCTCATATGAGAGCAACAGGTGGTTTAGTTTGAATAATTTCTGCAAACTACAAAATAGGATTTTTATCCATCATTCCATGGTCAATACTGACCAAATGAATACAGAATAGAGGACATGTAGGTACTAGTATGAACCTTGACTATATTGCAGGTTTATCATTAAACTTCTGATTTTAAAAACAAGATTTTCTAAGATTAGGAAGAACATCTGTTTTTCAGAAAGTACTCTCTATAGAAGCAGGTGTTACAGGTAAAACATCTGGTGAAATATAATACTGCTGGTGGAAAGGACAGGAAAACACACCTCTGGACAAGGTGTCATGTTGATACACTGGTCAGCAAACAGTCATCTTTTCATAGTTTTGTTTAAGAAATAATACCTGGAGTTCTGAAAGTTCCAATCATTTCTAAAATCCCAGTCTGTGTCAAGACATTTAGAAATTTATGAAAGAAATCGGAGGATACTGTTAATCAAAATTTTTTCACAACTTTGCAGTTTTCGCTGTCACTTCTGTACTGCGAACTTGTCATTATAGTGAACAAATGATTCGCTTTCTTTTCTCTTTACCTGCCACCACCACGAACATATAATTCCACAAACGTGTCCATTTTTCTCAGACCGTGAACTTTTGCTACCACAAATATAGAGTTATTTACAGTAGTTTTGAAACAGTTGTTCTTCACACATGAACCCTTATGTGTATCTTACCTGGCAACTTGAATCTCTCTGCTCGAGTTCTGGACCTCCCACCACCAGACAGCACTCGACCTTCTTTGATCTGGGCAAATCCAACTTTCGACCTTGACTCATCTTGGTCATCATCTCTCGGTGAGTCTACGCTTTCCTCCGATATTACATCGCTCCTTGTACCTCTTCTTCGTCTTCTTCTTTCCGAACTCTCCTCATCTTTTGACGTTTCGCGGTCGGCGTCCATCCGACTGGTGGACGATTTCGATTCGTCCATCTGTGTTGGGTCTATCGTACCCTCCGAGTGTTTCTTCGTTGCAGAGGTTCCTCTGTACGCGTTGGACTGCCACTCGCGTTTGGTGAACACCACCTCCGAACACAACTCCTTGAACCCCCAGCAAAGTTGCCACACAATATCTGTGTGAAGGTTCACCGACTCTTCGTGTTCAAACAGATACAAAACTTTCGCCAACTCTACAAGTAGCGTAGGTGCTGCGTACTTTGTCTCTTCAAACTGTATCTTCTGTGGATCATCCCAGGCTAGTTTATTCTCCTGCTCTTGCTGTTCTAACTGTGCTAAGTTTGAAGTAGCTCGGTCTAGAGATTCTTGAATTAGAGACAAAGTTTGGTTAATTGCTGGGAGTAAACTTTCCTTCTTCTTGGCACCCTCTTCAGTGGTCTCCTCGTGTGTTCCGGCTTCTGTGTCCGCCTCGGCTTTCTTCTGCTTGTCCTGCTTGGTCAAGAAAGCGGCTAGACGTGGGTTGAAGTTGGCAAACCGGAGAGACTGCGGCAGCTCGTCGGGGGATTTGCGGAACCGTTTGGCGGACTTGCGGCTGGTCTGCTGCCAGAAGAAGGTGGATCCCGCTGTCCTCCAGGGAGGGGGCGGTGCGTCCTGGGCAGGGGCTGATGAGGATGCGATTGATGTCATGGTGATTCCTGTGAGGTCAAAATCAGACCGTTCTGGAACAAACTGTGTTGGTCAGCAACGTTGCTCACAGATCAGTTCTGGAACAAGAAAAATTTGGAGGACGGAGTTAGCTGTTTTTCTTGACAGGCCTCAGAGTGCGAGTGAACTCGCATGGCGTTGCGCCTTAATTGTGCTGTTATTCGTGGTAAAATGGCTATTATAACAGTTTTTTCACATACATGCAAAGACGGAATAGTTTTACTGTACCGGTAACGTATGCAGTATAATCTCAACGCGGCCCTCCCAACCAGAAGTTGCCAACAACTCGCCGTGACAGCCAAGTGGCCAACCCGATCGGAGACCTGTTGCATGGCAGAAAAGGCACTCAAAACAAGAAACATGATCACTTACCAATTATATATCACTCCCTGCAGATCTTGTGACGATCTAATCCTTCACGAGGATGTTCAAAGCCTTTCCTAAAGAGCCCTAAAGCCGGTCTCGAGAGAGGGACTCTCGGTGCATGCCATGCGGGCCGCCATGTTGACTGGGTACTTGAGAACCCCCAACTGTTTATAGGTGTTTGGACTGGGGACAGTGGGGGCGTGGCCTGTCTCCCTGGAGACGGGGACGCCTGACAGGTCCTACAGGTGTGCTGTAGCGTACGGGGTCATACCTGGTTGCTAAGGGGTAACCTGAGAACGCTTTAATCATGCCGCCTGGCAGGTTACACCGGTACTAGAATAGCACTACAACGTTTGTTAGCGGCGGGCAGCTGAGTACATTTGATATGCTTGAAGGGGATACTTCAGTATTCAGCCAGTTAGATTACTTTCTGTGTAGCGCTAACATGTAACAGTGTGTGTTTGTTTTGTATCAACTCGTTTGATGGAAGGGAAACATGCCAATGCTGTAACTCAGATGATACTGTAACACTTTATACATGTGGCGTTTTGACGGGGTATATTGTTTTATTGCAAATTCGTGCCCGAGGGCTAATTGCAGGAACAGAAGAAACATAGGGTATAAAAACAGACAATTAGTACACATAGAACTACTGATAACTACTAAGAAACTACTAGTAAAACTACTGGGTTAATAAAAATACTTGCAACGTTACTACTCTCAAAGTAGAGGTTTGGGCTTTGGCTTATTTTTGGCGTGTTTTAGGTTTTTTTACCGGGCTTTCTTTTTTAATACCAGGCCAAAACGAAAGCCCGATGAGAACGCCTAAAAACTCGCCAAATACTTGGGTAGCTGTACCACTGTCTCATGTGCAAGTCATGTTTTCTGTGCGAGAATCTTTGCTCACTCAAAGGTTGCCCGGTGCGCAAGTTATCATTTTTGTTTCATACAAAACGGCATTTATAGTGATCTAGCTTACAGCTTCTGAAACATACACTGTGTCCCGCCCCGATCTCGGCCAGTACGATGAGAGATACCTTTACAGGTGGCCTGGCTTACGGCTTGCCTTGTCAAATACATGTACACAGCCGATGGTACCGGTGAAATATATGGCACCTTAGGGCAACCTCGCTGTGCGTATGTGGGCAACATTTGAATAAAAAGTATTTCGAACCCTTTCGAACCCGAAGACAGAAATGATGATAAAAGTTGTTAAATGATGATGTGGGACAGAATACTAGTGACGTTACCTAGTAAGGTCATGTTGATTTGATTATATAATATGGATGACATCCTCTGGGAACCCCAGAACTGATGCGAGCGTGCTAATAAAAAAAAGTCTGGCAAAAAAGTTGCCTTCATTATGAAATCTACGTGGCCATGAATAAGCACAGAGTATGGTATGGCGAATTATTAAAAAAAAGACTCTTCATTTTCATTTCTTCCATATACATTTTCTAGCTTGGCATTTTATGACAATAGTATTGTTTTCTAGTATTTTTTTGTAATTTACGGCATGTATAATTTGCACATTTTGAAGCTGCTTTGTACGATTTTGTCATCAATGGTCGACAACGTTTTTTTTTTAAACGGATGGAAATTCATGCGCATATAATCAAATCAACAAATGACAGACAGGGAAAGTTCACAAAGGGTTCTATCTGTTCAGCTTGGAAAATAAAAGACAATACAGGAAAGAGTTTGCAATGAGTCTGTACGTTTCATATTCAGAACTGACAAGTGATCTTTTTTGTAGATCCAAGGTTCAATCGACTCTTCTCGAAATTAATGACAAGTCAATTTGGTGCTCTCCAATAAACTCATATAGCAGTTAGCAACAAAAAAAAAAGAAAGAAAGAAAGAAAGAAAAGGAAAGGAAAGAATCCAATACCGAATAACAGACGTGTAGTGTGCTGTTAATAAGACTGACCACCTGAAATATTAATACCGGTGCATGCCCAATTGATTTTTAATTTGCAACATTTCTCATTTAACAAGATGGGGGTGTAATAAAAAAGCAACTTGCATTTCACGGAAATATTGTCCTAGCCGTAAATATTTATTTATTTGTTTATTCAGTCATTTATATTTCATATACATCGTAGATATTCCGATATCCGCAATCTTCCCACATTACCCCCCGCGTAGTCCCTTTTCATATCCCACAATGCACCGCTCATTTCCAAGGGAACGGCGAAACAAGATGGCGGCCTTCGGGTCAACTTTTCACAGCTCTGTCGGATTTTCTTGAAAAACTTTGTTTATTTCGACCTGTCTCTGTACAGGGACACTTTCAAGGCGTGTAGCAGATGATATACGACGTATATCTTGTATAAAATCTCCCAGTTTTCGTGCAAGGACTAGTTTTGTGGCTGTAGTTATGGCCGACACCGACGGAATCTGGTCCCAACACGGAGGGATGGACGGTTTGCCTCCAAGCGACCCCCCGGAAATCAGTTTTGGAGCGCCGAACGTTTTCCAGGTCGGCACGTCGGACTCCCCCGCCTCCGAGCTGCCCGACAGCGCCCTGGGGTACGGGGTGCCGTACATACCGGACGACGATGACGACTCACAGGAGGAGGAAGGGCCTGAGGTGGGGTGCTACAAAAAATACAAAGATTCATTAATATAAATCGTTAAAGAGGTTCATCAGTCACGTAAGATTAACAGTCAGTACTGTAGAATATTCATCAATCAGTGACTGTTTTTGAAAGTTAAAAACGTACCTCCAAATTTTCGATGTCGACTGTACTAAGTGTCGCGAAATTTGGAGGTACGTGTTTCTACCTTTCAAAAACAGTCACTGATTGATGAATGTTCTACTATTAGACTGCTAAGATTTAATCGTAATTTCAAGGAAAAGACCGTGTTAACATATTTTTAACATGTAAAGACGGGTGTAACAGATGTCTATCTCTTCAAGGGAAGGATTTTTTGAATGTCAGAACTACTGCTTTTGATGATAAGTTGTGACCACCTGTTAATAACACAAAGTAATGTGCGATGGCAGTGTACAGGGATATTTAAAGATCAATAACATAAGTTAACATTGTGTCTGTGAATTGTCTTTTAATAGACTCAAAGTAAAATCCAAAGCAAGTAGAACTATTAAAGTACCTATTTGTTCCTTGTGTAGCTGTCACCTGATGGTATATTGGATGAGGAGACAGTGGCCCAGGGACTGTCTAACCTGGGGAAGGCTGCTGGAGGCACGTCTCAAGTCTTCCTACACCTCACACTGCCGGTAAGACTAACTTGTACTCACACTTAGACCCCGTTTACACTAAAAAAATGGATCCGGATTGACCGCCGATCCAGATCAAAAATTCATTAATCCCGATCGCCCTGCGCGTTCACACTGCTTTCTGCCGATCGGGATTGCATTGTGCATCGGACTCAGATGTGTCACGTGATGATAGAGCCCGCCATCTTGAACGCACCGGAGCCGCTGCAACTCCGCCGTAAATTTTGCCAAAGAAAGCAATTCCGAAAGTTTGTACAGCGTGGAATCTTAGCGGAAATAAAGAGAACACCTTGTTGAACATGTTTGGGTGGCCAGGGTTTGGCTCCCGTTGCGTGAAGGCCTATATCTTGCGGGTTGTAACATTCTATTCCACTGGCTTGCCATTCCACTAGAGTGTAACGTAGGGGCATGGAGGTTGGGGTAAACATGTATCTGTGTGTTTTCTTTTCATATTTCATTGGCAATGTATCCATAGCATTACACAAGGTCCTAGACCCGATCGGTTGTGCTATTTGTGGTACATCGTAACACCAGCGAACCCCGAAACCAATCCACTTTGCGTCACACTCGCGTTTACGCCCGATCCCGATCCGCCGCAAGTGTCTTGAACTACCTCCTCGAGGTGGATTACTTCTGGATCGGGATCGGTAAAAATCAATCCCGATTGGAGCGTTCACACTGCGAAAACCGATCCGGATTGACTTCATTTCCATAATTTTGATCCCGATCGGCGGCAGATCCAGATCGACAAGTTTCACTGTGAACGGGGTCTTAGTAAAGGTTAGATAGAACATACTGGATAGTGGCGTTGTGTGGCATAATGGTACCTAGGGCATTCGGCCCATCACCCATGGGTCCTGGGATTGATTCCACTTACATGCGCTGACGTTGTGCCCTTGGGAAAGGTACTTGACCTAACTTTCCTCACTTCACTCAGGTGGAAATGAGTACCTAGGTTTGGTTAGGGATATGTGGCATAACTGCAGAGTGTTTGGCTCAGAACCAAAAGGTCCAGCTAGAGTTCGAGTCCTGACATGCCACCGATCTTGTGGCCTTGGGGAAGGCACTTTACATGACTTTCCTCACTGAACTCAGGTTAAAATGAGTATTGTCCTCTGCGTTGCTGGTGGCATAAAATTAAGTAGAAAAAATTGAGTTTGCCGTCACCAAGAAAAATGTTGTGTGAAGATTTCTTGAATGTTGACGTTTTTCTGATTTTCAGGGTTACAACCTGGCAGACATCAGCCTGTTGCAGGACTATGTACATCTACAGAGACTGGAGATGCCTTACAACCAGATCACAGGTACAGAAATGTCATACATACATGTATACAGCATAAGGCCATGTTGAATTGATTACATGGATTACATCCGAGTGCGTATTAATTTTCGTCCATTTCAAAAAAGAGTTTTGGACCATTCTGTAAATCATACAAAGCAGCTGCAAAAATAATTGAAGAATGACCAAACATAGGCCGTAAGTTGAAAAAAAAAAATTGAAAACGATACATAACTATATAATGTTCTTGAATGTCAAAATCAATTCCAAAGAAAAAGAAGAAAATGTGAAGAAATGAAAACATATCAAATTCATTTTCCCATTATGAAATAAGGACTTCCAACACTTAGACTACAGAAATGGGACTTACTCCAAATTTTTGGTTGACTCCATCAACCTTGTTCATTTCTGTAGTCTAAGTGTTGGAAATTAAAGCTTAGTCTTTCTTTCATAATGACTTGTACCAACACAGATGAACTTTCATGCTAGGTCCATTTCCCCATGTTTTTATCTTTCGTCTGTGCTTATGTTACAGACCTATCAGCCCTGAGCTGTATGACACACCTCCTGTACCTGGATGTTTCTCACAATGAGCTGAGAGATCTGCTCAACTTTGAACCTCCAATAAACCTTAAGGTACGTATGCAGTGGACATTTGTGCATGATGGCTGTTGAAAGTGCTATGAAGTTCAAAGTTGGTAGTTAGGCCTAGGAAAATTATCATCAACAAACTTGTATATATGGTTGTTAAACGTGTGTGTGAGTGTGTGTACGTAGTGATTATGTATAATTGTAGATATAAACTATTTGAGACTGTTAATGGTAATCTTTCCACTAAGAAGTACATGTAGTGATATTAAGCAGAGGATAGATCAAACTTTTGTGACTTTCCCTGCAGGAGGTGGACTACTCCTACAACAAGTTGGAGACAATTCAGGACTTATCAGAACACAAAGCTCTCACCAAGCTGACCCTGGACAGTATCCTTTATACAGTTTAACATTGTATAAACATCATTCACCTTGTGTTAAAGGTGCCCAATGTAGTTTTTAGGGCCTGAAAACCAGATTTTTTATTCAAAGTCAACATTTTAGTCACTTATCTAGTATACTAAGTTCAAACAACTATCCCACTGTATATCAACATTCATGGAGCAAAAATGACAAAAACTGTGACAGAAAAAAAGTTGGGTTGGTTTTTGGGGTACCACCCAGAAAATAAAGGACTCATCTTGGGGCTTGTTTCTGCACTGTTTTAAATGCCCAAAGTATGAATTACTTTATGCATATGTCGCTAATGCAGGACAGTACAAAAAATATATGTATCAAAATCATACAGATTGCCTTTTAGTTATTTTTATTCTTAAAAGAATATTTCAGATTTGAGGCCCTTAAATTACTTTGGATGCCTTTAAGTAATGATTCTTAATCTTAAACTTTTTCTTTCCTCATTCAAAGAGAACATTTGTCCTTGACTCTTGTTTCTCCAAAGACAACAACATCACAGAGATCTCAGGTTTGTCCAACTGTCGGCAGCTCAGAGAACTCAGCATCGCCCACAACAACCTACAGAAGATCAGTGGACTGGATCATCTCAAGATCAAGTATCTCAGTCTGGTGGGTTCCTCTACTGTCATAAATGTTCATCTGTGTCAGTAGTTACCTCCATGAAAAATGGAGGTATTGTTTTTGGTGTGTCTGTCTGTGTGTTTGTGTTTCTGCACATTTGTAGTCAGCATAACTTCAGAACGCCTTTATGGATTGTGATGATATTTGGTATGTTGGTAGTTCGTAGGAAGACAAAGGCCAAGGTAAAATATGGGCCTCCTGGTGGCTGACCATGGTACTGCAGCAGAACTTCCGTTTTTTGTATCTTTTAACATGCTATGGTCTTGGACTTTTAACATGCTATGATCTTGGATTTTTGGTGACAGATAGCTTTTTCTGTCAGGAATAAGTGGTGTGAGTTTTGTCCACCTACCAGCTTGTTACATGTTGAATGAAGTTAAAACTTTGCTCCAACACAAAGAATTGTTCTCACTTAGAGCTTAGACCAGTCACTCTGGTCTTCTTCAAGTTTTCACGTGACAAGTCTCACTGGGTCAGTCAACTGAAGAAGACCAGAGTGACTGGTCAAAAGCTTTAGGTTAGAACAATTCTTTGTGTTGGAAGTTTTAACTTTAAACAAGACTTCAAAGAGTTGAAATATCAGGTTATACAGTTGAGCAATGTTTTAATTGAGTCAGAATTGTATCATTCTATGTAAGGCAGAAGTTATCATTTATGATGAGATAGATAACTTACCTGCATTGATACATATTAATTTTAATTTTGATATTTTCAGAGAGGAAACAACATCAAGAAGATAGAAAACTTAGAGACCTTAGTGTACCTTCAGGCAAGTATCCAATGACTTGTGTTAAGTTAAACTATTTAAATCTCTTTGTTTCTGAAGAGCTATTTCAATGCTGCTGGGACTTCTGCTTGGTTACATGGTTTAGATGGTTTGTGGCTAAAATGCAATCCACCCCTGGGTGTCACCAAAAATGAATTTCCCCCTCCCCTTGCAGGTGTTGAACCTGTCTGGTAATGCCATCAGCAGTATGGCAGGGCTGGAGGGACACAACTATCTGGAGTCGGTGGATTTGGACGACAACGAGGTGAATGACTCAGTCAATACTTTTCGTGTCTTAGAAAATAGATAATCTTTAATTAAGCTTTATGCCATGTTAATTTGATTAGATGGATGACATATGCGTGCACATGAATTTTAGACTTCAATGTTTCCTAACTATAAATGAACAAAATTAAGCTGAAAAATGAGCAAATATGTGCCATGAATTCCAAAAAAAATGTTGGAAAGTGATGCCAATGAATCAGTTCGAGAGGAGAAAAAGAAAATGTAAAGAAATGAAAATGAAGAGTCTGTTGCTCGCCATACTATACTCTGTGTGTTTAACCACATAGATTTCATAATGAAGGAAACTTTTACTTCTGCCAAACTTTTTTTATTCACACGGTCACGTCCGTTTTGGGGTTCCCAGAAGAGGGTGTCATCCATATAATCAAATTGCATGGCCTTACAAGGTACATAGCCAAATCAGAAAGTTTTCTGTAATATAACTTTATCTATGTTGTCACAGGTGAGCAACATTGTGGAGGTACAGTACCTGGTGGACCTGAGACTGCTCACAGACCTGAACCTGATGAGGAACCCCATACAGGTCTGTCAACCCTTTTCTTATGGCACACTAGACACCTTTCCTCTATCATTTTTACCATGATTGAGACTGTGTGATTTCTTAAAATGCCAACTGCCAAGGTCTAGGATATCTTGCAAAGAGACGTACTGGGAAAGAAAGAAAAATATGGTTTGCTCTGTTAATTCTTACTCAAACACATTCATATATATAGTCAGACAGGAGTCTAAATCCCTCCTACTATAAAATTGCAACATTATGTAACCCAACACCAGTTACCATGGTGACAGACATCAACAAATCAGGTCATTGGCCGGGTCAAAGGTTAGTGTTTGGAACAGAAGAAAAAGAAGAAGAGGAAATGAAGCAAAAACAATATTTTTTCCTTCGGTAAACATAATCATTTTCCATATGATACCTATACTGGTAGACCAGGGTTCTAGCGAGCTCGAAATGTTTTGTCTGTCAGGCCAGGTTCATAGATTGATGCTGTTGTTTCTCTACCCAGGGTCTACCCGACTACCGGCTGTCCATCCTGTTCAAGTTACAGCAGCTGTCCACCCTGGACAGGAAGAGAGCAGAAGTGGAGGAGAAGGTCAGGAAAAAATTATGCTCAGAACCATCAATTAACAGTGTCAAATACAATTTAGATATGCCACAATTAAGTAGAAAATAATGCATTTAAAGCCACACCATTTTGACTTGTTGGTACTCAGATTTTTTGGAAAAATATGAAGTGACAGGGCAAAAAAGAATAGAACTAGAAAGGCCAATATTTGCTTTGGAGCAAATACAGCGATGGGTTCACCACATTTTACGACATGGCAGGGAAAGAATGAGAAACACAAGGGAAAACAATGATTTACATTGATATAACTATAATATGAAGTAACATACGACTAAAACAACAGTTGGATAGCTATTCCCTACTTTATTGGTTAGAATGCTCTGTGCAGGTGGAAATGCTCTGTGCAGGTGTTAATCAAGTTAAATCCCAACAGCCAATCAGCAAGAAGAATAGAGGAAAGCTGCATGCCTATTGGTTGATGCCCTGCATTCCATTGTGATGACTCATACCCAAACGTGGTAAACATGACACACTAACACAGTAATACATTTGCTATAACACAGCCAAAAAACTCAAATAAAACCATTCTAAAAGCCTGTATCACAAAAATTTAAAAAACGCCTAAGGGTATTTGCCCACTGTACCTCCATACCAAATTTCAGGACCTTAGGCCCTAAAATGAAGAAGCTGAATCCATTTAAAAAATGGCAGGAGAAGAAGGAGGAGGAGGAGGAGGAGGAGAAGAAGAAACACCAGAAAAAGCAATATGGTTTCACCACACCCACTTCGTGGTGTGGTGAACCCATAAAAAAAAGACCTAGAGATCCACTGATAGCCCCAATAGCCTCAAAAGCTGCGATAGGTGCCATGAAGTCAACATACTAGGCTAGTTTGAACCTTTTTATCAAACCAATACATAGATGGATGGATAGATAGGAAAACAGTACCAACTAGGAAGGTAAGAAGCTTTCTTCAACTGGTTGGATCAAAATATGTGAGCATTTTGAAGTTGATTCAAAACCTGGATCCTTTTTTTTTTTGCAAATCAGAAAAAAATCAAGCGGGCAAATTCGAGAACCAACAATTAATTAAATTGGTGTGGAGACTGTGGACTAAAGAAATCTTGTAAAAATCCTACTGGTGATAATAAAAAAAATTTGTGTATTTTCAGGTCCAGGCCATCAATATGTTTAACCCTCCTCAGGAGGTCATAGCTGCCCAGGACCACATCAGGAATATGGTGTACAGTTTCCTCACAGCCAGCAGGGTCTACGACAGGTTAGACTTTTCAAACAAAAGCTCTTCTGTGTTGGTAAAATCCATAGTTGCAGAGTTTAAACTTTGTTTAAAAAACAAGAAGGAACTTACTTCACATTGTACAGCACAGGCGCTATACATGTAGATGCATTCCCAAACGTAATATACAATTTATTTACAATATCTACACGGTTACAGGGAACTGTATCTATAGCAGCGACACTTATGCTGGGCAATGTGAACCAGTCAGAATTGCCCTGAGGAAGGTGACAGACAGTCACCGAAACGTCAGCTGAATAAAACACTTGGTTGCATGTGTAAAAAATAGACTCTTTATTCAGCTTTGATTCCAGTAACATGGCTCTGTCCTTGGTGCTGAAAAAGAAATTACTAACTTACTTTACAGCTAAGTCAATATTGCATGCAATTTGAGTGTCTGGGCTGAATAAAACACTTGGTTGTGTAAAAAGAGTCTCTTTATTCAGCTTTGATTCCAGTTTACAAACTGTAACATGGCTCTGTCCTTGGTGCTGAAAAAGAAATTACTAACTTTGACTTCACAGCTAAGTCAATATTGCACACAGTTTCAGTGTCTGGGCTATATGAAACACTTGGTTGTGTAAAAAAAGAGTCTCTTTATTCAGCTTTGATTCCAGTTTACAAACTCTAACATGGCTCTGTCCTTGGTGCTGAAAAAGTAATTACTGACTGACTTCACAGCTAAGTCAATATTGCACACAATTGCAGTGTCTGGGCTAAATGAAACACTTGTTGTGTAAAATAGTCTGTTTATTCATCTTTGATCCAGTTTGCAAACTGTAACATGGCTCTGTCCTTGGTGCTGAAAAAGTAATCACTGACTTCATGGCTAAGTTAATATTGCACACAATTTAAGTGTCTATTTTTTTTCCACAGCACACTGCCTAGTATTGAGACCCCATACCCCATGTTAGTACTTACTGGTCCCCAGGGATCAGGGAAGAGGGAGTTGGCTCAGCGACTGGTGCAGGACTTCCCAGACTATTTTGGATATGGGTAAGTACATGTACCCAGTAGTGGGTGCGTATGGCATAATGGCAGGGTATTCGGCTCAGAACCAAGAGATCCTGCCATGTCACTGATCTTGTGTCCTTGGGAAAGCCAATATAAGTGACTTTCTTCACTTCACTCAGGTGGAAATTAGTACCTAGTTTTGGTTAGGGACTTGCCTTGGATAGGACGTTGAATGGAGTCTTGTATTAAGCTGTTATTGTTGTATGGGGGGTATAATTCCGACCAATACAGTGAACCGATGATGATGACACGTAATGTAATCACAGTTTTTTCGCAGAACTTTTATGTTTGCAGTTTCTGTGGTCACTTCTGTACCACAAACATATCAAATTGAATATAATTGCCAACTTTCTTTTTCCTGCATCTGCCACCACTGCAAATGTATAGTTCTGTGAACATGTCCATTTTTCTCAAACTGTGAACTTTTGATACTGCGAAGTTGTATAAATTTTTTTCTTTCATGCCTTATCTACATTTATGTCCCAATTTCGTTAACAGTCCTTTTTTTTTTAATTTCTTAAAAAGTCAACAGAGGAAAACAACATAAAAGGTGGAACGATCCAACATAGAACATGTATACAACATAGGTCAAACCATAACAACATAATAGTACACGGTCTCTTGTCTTACGCAATGCCCGCTATACAGGATCTGTAACACTTGTTGTGAATTGTTTTCCCTTTTGGCAGAATTTCTCACACCACACGTCCACCAAAGACTGGAGAGGAGGACAACAAAGACTACCACTTTGTCTCCATGGACAGGTTTGAAAACCTGATCAGACAGGTAAACATACAACAAACCTCACATACAAAATCTACCTGTATTTCATCCTTTATTTATCCTGTTTTTACTGATTGTTGTCAGTATAGGGCTTGGAAATACTTAACGTTATCACTGTTGTACTGGTATCTAACAATGGTTATCACTATAGGGCTTGAAATACTATTCTCTGCAAAGCTGCACTGGCTCAGGTAACATTGAAAGTTATCTGCACCTGACAAATGTTACCTGCACCTCAAAATTTCAGACGTATGGATCAAACTAAAAAGTGTTCAGAAACCATTGTCGATGAAGGTTAGACATCCAGGTAATGAGATACACAAAAAATTGTTACTTGTATTCAGTTGCTTGAGTAACAATTCTTTGTGCATTGTCATTATTGTATATGTTATAGTTCATAGGTGGTAATAGTCAATGTAGCAAATAAAAATCTGCATTAACCTACATGTATAAATCCTGTACAGGCTATGTGCAGGTAGACATCAGAAATTTTACCTGCACTAACCTGCATATGCATGTGGTATTTCAAGCCCTGCACTACTTAAAATGAAGTTGGTGACATTTTTGAGGATATGCTGATCCTAAAGTTGTTGTTTTCCCTGTGTGCAGGGTAAGTTTATCCAGACATGTCAGTATGCAGGCCACCTGTATGGACTAACCATGGATGCAGTGGAGGCTGTGGCTAAGGAGGGACTGGCCTGTGTGGTACACATGGAACTGGAGGTGAGTTGTCTGGAATTCACTCCATGGATATGTTTGGACATTGTACTTTTTTACATGTGTATATTGACTTGTATAGAGGGCAAGCCTCAAGAGGGGTTTTATTCACTTGACTATTGGTTACAAGTGTTTTTTTTAATCTTCTAAGCTACATGAATAGTAAGTATTAGATACTGTAATCACAATTTTTCATGGTATATTTATTTATATTCGTGACTTTTGCGGTCACTTCTGTACTGTGAACTTATCATTACCATGAACAAATAATTTGCGGCTTTTTGCTGCACCTGCCACCATATAGTTCTGCAAACTTTTGTCCATTTTTTTCAGACCACTAACTTTTGGTACCACAAACATAAAGGGATTTACAGTATTGATGATAGAGTTTGAACTGAAGATACTCCAATGTTTCCAGTAGTTTTTTTCCAAATCAATGACACATAAATGCATACATAGCCAAACAATGCAAGCAGGTTCAAATCAACTGGCAAACCTGGAACTCTGGTCTTGAAGTTAAAACAAGAACAAAATACATGTATACTCTATATAATGAGAATTAAACTGTGTTCCAACTCAAAAAAAGAATTTTACTCACTGGAATTTTCAATCAAATTTGTTGGTCTTCCACAACTTTCTGACCACAGTGCTATAGATGGTGAATAAAATTTTTTGAGTTGGAGAACATTTTAATTTTCATTATATAATTTACCAACTCACATGAACTTTCATGAGAGTAAAATATACATTATTTGTACTCAGGGTGTGATGACTCTGAAGAACACGTACTTTGAGCCAAGGTACGTGCTGATCATCCCGGCTACCAGACAGTACCTGTCAGAACGTCTCAGCTCCAGGGAGGGGATACATCAGGACGAGGTGGCCTACAACATCACACGCTGGAACACCTACGTCGACACCAACCAGACATGCCCGGGATTCTTTGACATGGCCATCGACAGTGGTAAGACTCTCTTTTGAGACTCTCTTTGCACAACCAGTCTTTTATTCAGCCAACATTTCAGTGACCGTCTGTCATCTTCCTCAGGGCTGACTGGTTCACATTGCACTGCAGCACAGGTGTCACTGTAATAGATACATTCCCAAACGTACAATATATACAATCTACACATATGCATGGTTACAGGGAACTGTATCTACATTGCAGTCCCAAATGTACAGAAGTACAGAAGTTGGATATATACATTATTGTGGTCAGTTATTAAACAAAAGCAGTTACAGAGAACAGATTTCACAATACGGTTCCAAACATGCGGTCTGAAAATGTTGTGTCAAATATCTTTGAAAGGCTTTGTATACATATTAGTGATTCTTCAGGAAGTTGTACATGTATTAAAATTATGAAGCTCCCCTACTTTGCCCTTAAAGGCATTGGACTTGCTCTTAAAGGCATCCAATGCAATTCCTGGATGTTACAACAAAAAATATTCTGGATGAAGATGTCTGATACTGACACGTACGGCCATTTTGTAGCACATTTTTGTCCTCATTTCATACTTGAAGAATTTGAAATAGCCCCAAAACAAGCTACATGATGTGTCTCTTTATCTTTTGGGTACCACCCATAAATAGCTAGAACCAGCATGTACAAAACAAGCAACTTCATTTTCCATCAGTGACATCGCATTTTTGCTTCACAGATATCATAGTATGTTCAGGATAAGGTTGATTCAGCTAACTACATTAAAAGAATGACCAGAAAATTGACTTTAAAAATCCAGTTTTGCCGTCCTGAAATTGCACTGGATGTCTTTATATACTCATTGCTATCTGTACATGGAACAGACAATTTTCAAAGTCTGTATGTGTTATCAATGTTTCTGACAAAATCTTCTATTGAATTTTGTTTTAGATGATCTTGGACAGGCCTACACCAACCTGAGGAAGTTAGTTATGGACTACCTGGGCATCAGTGATGCTGCGTCATCAGAGACGTCCACCATTGACGGGGACTCCAGGTCCCAGAGTGCTACAGAAGTCAAGGATGGAACTATGACTGGTGAGGGTGTTGTTCTTTTCTTAAAGAAAACAGCCAAGAACTACATGTAGAAAGCTAACATTTGCAAGGCAAATGCATAATGTCTACCTTTGCATATGGTCTGCTCTGTTAATTCTTACTCAAGCACATTGAAATACGTGTCAGACATTTGTACTCTAAATGTGGATCCTAATAAAGTCAAGTCAGGAGTCTAAATCCCTCCTGCTATAAAATTGCAGCATGATGTAACCCAACAATAGTTACCATGGTAACAGACACAACATTGCTCCAGGTAATTGAGGTCACTGCAGTTGGAATCTGAGCAAAAACACTTCGGTAAACATAAAATAGTTTTATCCCAAAGATTACTTGCAAATAGACCAGTTTACCTTTTACGAATAGCATAAACTACTTACCTCACAGGGGGACATTTTGAATAGAACGTTATGTTCTAGAACACGGAAGTTGAACGTGGCTTTTGCTTGCAGTGTTCCCCCTGGCAGATCACTGCGATGGTCTCAGATACCAGAATCGGGTATCTGGTGAGATTGAGTGTAAAGAAACGGGGGACAGCATTCCTTCATTGAAGTATCAATTAGGAACTTTCAGAGTTACGTCAGAAAATCTGCAAGCAATAGCAATGTTCAACTTCCGGACCTAGAACAGCGTCTATTCGAAATGTTCCCCCATAATTTAAGCAATTCATGCAGATGCGTAAAAAGTAAACTGGTCTATTGATTTACAGGCCTTCAATTTCTAAATACATAGATCTTTTTCCTCATTTTAAAGTTGATTGTTGAATGTTACACCCTGATCTTATGCTTAACAGTTAACTGTAATGGCTTTATATTATTAATTTATCTTTATAGGTGTGACATCTACCAACTCAGCCACCAGGGCTACCAAGTGGAGTAAGCCTACAGGCTCCATCAGTATGGACATGGAGATGGGAGGGGGGGCGGCACGCACGTATTCCGGACAACTCCGCAAGATGGAACCCAAGAAAACACCTGTGGTATGTGTGCAATCATTGTTCATATTATCAGAACTATGTTTATGTTTATGTTTATTAGGAACATCCGTTAGTAAAACAACATTTGCTTACTAGTCTTCCACACTAACTTACTTACTTACTTACTATTTACGCCACACCAATGTTTCTTGGATTTGCCCGCTACATTTTTTTATGATTTCCAAGAAAAAAGTTTTTTCGGCTTCTGGTTCACATTTTGGCCCCATCAGAAAATCCTTGTCTTCCTAGTGGTTACTATTTTTCCATCTGTCAATGCTGTTGTTTGATTAAAATTTGAAAATTCATTGTTTATAAACCACCCTGATATGTTGAGTTCATGGCTTCTATCATAGCATTTAGGACTATAGTATGCCTACTAGTAGGCATAATGCAATGTAAGAGAGTTGACAAAAATGCGATTGTTGGTCCCCTACAGGAGGAGGCATCTTATGCTCGCAGGTCAGCTGCAGCCAAAGCTGCCATCATCACAGGAATCGTGCCCAACCCTTACCAACAGCTCATGCAGAGGTACTAGTACTCCACCACTCTACCTACGTATAGTTTTACATGTATTTGGGTTAAATAGAAAAAAGAAACACCTACATTTTAAAATGAATTTAGAGGCACTTCAATAGCAAAGTATCAGTGCCATTATTCCACAGTCTGAAGGTAACGCTGTCATATATGTTCAACATGCAAAATTGCATGTTCAGAATACAAAATGTATTTTTTACATACAAATCTTGAAAATCACATGCAAATTACATCTGAATTTGCTCCCCTCATCACTTCTATGGTATGCTGTGACAAAAGGTTACTGCCATAGTGTTAGTGTAAAATTAATGAGTATCCTATTAGTAAGTGGATTTGGTATACGATGTTGTGTGATGCATGTAGTATCTAAAGCTTTCTCCACCTTGAAGTACAGTTGAGGTACAGTTTAGGTAGACTGGAATGGTTTAGACTGAATCTGAAGTATGTCATCTAAATAGACATGACTAAAATGAGGGTGAATTCTGATCTTTAAAATTTACCTTGTTCTCAGACCACCTGGTACTGCACCAAGTAACACCCTGGACCAGGATGGCCTCGGCGACCACGACCAGCCCCGCCCGGCAACTGCCCCCATCGATGCCAGCACGTCCTTCCTGTCCATGCAGGCCAACACCAGCCGAGCGCAGCAGGGCAGCGTCGACTCCAGCTCCGACGAATCAGAGGAGAGTGCCAGTCTGTCGGATTTGTCCTCAGCAAGGCAGTTTTCCGCCGCGGGATCATCAGATACGTCCGAACAAGGGGAGGGGGGGTACGCTGAAAGGGTAGAAGGCTTGGACTTGGCCGCACTGGAAAACGCCTTATCTGATCAGGGGTCGTTGACCTCACCCCCTGCGGCCCCGCGACCCGGGTCAGCGGGGTCGGGTCAAATGTCGCTGCCCGGGTCAAGGCCAGGGTCGGCTCAGGATCCGGTGACCTCCAGGCCAGGGTCAAATCTGAAGCCTGTTCTGCCACCTATACCCTCTCACAGAGGGGCAGAACAGGACAAAAGTCTGCCAGATTTCTAGTCCGTTTTGTACATAATAAAGTCAGTAATTTCACCTTTCAATGAGAAGAGTCTGTTTTCATGTACATACCGCTAGTTACCTTTCAAAATCAACTTACGTTTCGTACTTCTCTTCACTTTTAGGCATCTGTAAGCTAGTACGTATACTCACTCCACATTTGCAGTAGCATAATTTTACGGCCTGAGAAAAATGGACATGTTCGCGGAACTATATGCAGAAGAAAACAGTCAGCGAATTGTTTGCGGTAATGATAAATTTGTGTTAGAGGCGTGACCGAAAATATCACAAATATAAAAGTACTGTGAAAATAAAGTGGATTGGCTATAGTCTTTGAATTTCTCATATCTACGTAATTGTATTGTATTTTAAGTACATACTACATGTACCATAGCTGAAACCACAGCTTGATATTGATCAATTGGTTTCAGTAAGCTAACTTCGCACTTTTGAAGATACTGTACACACTTTCATAATGGTTTTGATCTGATCTGCACAACAGACAAATCAATAGACTTGTATGTCTCAGATTACGATGAATTCAACAATATATTCACTATTGGTTTCAACAGAGCACTCAGTTGCAGATTGTGTTGAATGAATTATCTTTACTTTAAGTTACTTGTAGCTTCTTCACATGGTATTGTCTGTGGTACAGGTAAAATTGAAAAGATGTAAATAGTAGTAATTTGTAAAACATCCAAATATTTTCATCTACAGTTTTCTGTCATGTGTTTTCCACTCAAGGACCTTCTCTAAAAATGTTTGTGTATTGATGATGGTGTTTGGGAAAGAAAAATAAAAACTATTCTATTTTAACAACTTGTCTTGTAATTTATTTGTTTAACTAATTTGTTTACTCCAATCTTTACAATATTAAGATTTAAACAAGGGAAATCGTAGATTTCAAACCTCCGGGTTTTCTTGTGTTCTATTGGTTTAGGTTATTTGTTTGTGTGTAGTATGAAAGTTATGTGCGTAATATGTTTGTATGTGTTTGATGGCTACTGACGGTTGGTTCGGTATGGACTGTTGATTAACGTGTCTCACAGTCTGACAGCCTGCACCGTCACCCGCGCCATTACCCCCGCCGTCATCCCGCGCCGTCATTGCTGCGCCGTCACCCAAAATTTTTATCGGAACCAGACACCCCTCTGTTTGACCCCTTTTGAATGCTAAGACCCAAAACTGCAACCGCCCCATTCCTTAACAACATGGTAATTACCATTTTCAGCATGGCGGGGGTGTCCGGAGCACTTAAAAACCTTTTATTTCGACGCCCATAAACACATATGCAATTAAACAAAAACGTTCTGCATCATCTGCAGCCCAATAGCAATGCGTATACCGAACCACAGACAAATCCGTCCAGCCGATCGCGAGGAACAGCTGCTGACAGAAATGTTTCGAACCATAGTAAAACCTCCTCTCGGAAGGATATCTCCTTCCCCGGAGGTAACTAGAGTTCCACAATCTCATGCCTTCGCCAAAAAATATTACCCCGGTAGCGTCCTCTGGTGGTTACAAGCAACATTAAAGTGTATCGCAGTAGTTGCAGTGACCAAAGGTGTAAACATGTGAGGTAATGATTGACCTTTGTTCTCAGCTGTATTTACTCAAAGTCATAAGACTGACTTCTGTCTTCAACTTATGACGCCATAGAGACACATAAGTCAAAGAGAAAGCCCACAACAGATGATCGGACATCCAGGTGAGATTTAGACACATGGCTTACACATCCAGACGAACTTTAGACAAATCTGAGGCATCTAAATGAGATTTAGACACCCTGGAGAGATTTAAAACAAGTTTCAGATATCTAAATGAGGTAATGAAACAAGTCTCAGACATCCAGAGGAGATTTAGACAAGTCAAAATAAGATTTATAAACACGTCTCAATCATCCAGACGAGATTTAGACAAGTCTCAGGTATCCATGATAGATTTAGAGAAGTCCAAAAGTTTTTTCTTTTAAATCCGATCTGCTCAAAGTGAGTTATTTGCCAGGTCATACAAGTTTGGAGTTTGGAACAGTCTGTTTTATGGGGAGGGGTATTACTGAAATCTGATTTATCTGCCCCAGAGCAAATGCGGTCTTTCTAGTTATATTTCGAGGCATGTTTTCATGTACATATACAATGTACATGTCTCATTAAAAATCCAAAAGCAACATTATGAGTACCATAAATCAGGACCTGTATTTGCCCACTCTACCTCCATGCCACATTTCAGGTCATTTGGCCCCAAAATCAAGAAATTGAATCAATTTAAAGAACTAAGGACAGGAGATGAAGAAGGAGAAGAAATATAAGTAAAACAACACATTTCAACAATGCCATAAAATATAAATATGACCTTGTGTTTCCTTCTGCACACATTGCTTGGGATCACGATGTCAAAACGTACATGTACAATACAAGAGATATTTATGTAGTCAAATGGACGTCACAATGTTGACGTTTTCTGTGTCGTAGAATGACAATTTTACTGTTGGTGTGAACATGTACCCTCTCATAAAATGACCTTTCCTTTATTGCTGGTACATAAAATATCTAGACTGGTGTAACAAGCTTAATATAATATATATATATAGCCATGAAAACAAATTGTTCTTCTTTCCTCTCTTTTAAGGTTAACCTGTCTAAATAGGCTGGGAGTAGCGACCCGCCAGCACGAGCCAGTGAGCGAGATTGTGTACACACTGATCCATGCAATGAAAACAGTAGCCTGACTGAACCTCACTTTTTGCCGGCTCCCTAGTAGTCCGCCACCTCTTGGGTACCCCCTGGAGCTTGGGTTTCACAGGCTATGAAAACAGCAATATGTCAGAAATTAATACGCCTAGCCTGGCAAACCAGCTGCAAGACTTGGAATTATTTCTCAAAAGTCAAAAAGGCCAGGAAGTCGGTTATGGGCGGGCACTGAAAGAAGCTATTGCCGGCAAGAATCACATAGTTGAGGTAGAAATTCTGAAAAGTCTTGGAGACCTGCATCTCCAGAAGGGCAAACTCAGTAAAGCTTCGGTAGAGTTTGACAAGGCTGCTGCCCTGTATGCTGCTGCTCTACAGCGCGACACAGATCCAGATATGGGACAAACGCTTGAACATCGAATCGACTACCTATCAAAACTCTCCACACACCTGCTGCAGGGGTACTCTCCACAGTATCATTGGCTGTCACCAGACTACTGGGGAACCGCTGACAGAAATGTGCTGAGGGTGGCAGAGCTATTTGACCAGTGGGAGAGAAGTGGCAGAATGTCACCACGCTCTGCTGAAGACAAACTCACCGAAATGTTAGTAACAGCAATTGAGAAAAGCGATGTGCACTTAGAGCTTGAAGTTCTCAAGTCTCTTGGTGATATATACCTTGAGAAAGGCAAGAACACCTCTGATGCATCCCAGTTCTCCAAAGCAACTGCTATGTTCAACAAAGCCTTCATAGGATGTGTAGGGCCTCACGCAGAACAGACATTGCGTCATCGCATCAGCTACACAGAGAAGATCAGAGGAGAGAGAATGGTAGGGTTGGATCGGAAAGGATTTTACGGTCAAATCGATTGGTTGTAACAGTGTAACTGTGTCTCTACCCACACATTAATGGACTGTGCCAGAGCTTTGTAATTTACTCTATAATGAAGACAAGCCATCCATTACCCTTACGAGTTAATATATTTGTCTTAAAATATGTAAGTTGTGCTGTACCCCTCATAACGCTTCGCAAATACAATGTACTTGGGATAATGTGAAATGCAAAGGATTAACGTGGCATGCAATGGATAATACAAATATGATACATGTACATGTAGGATGGAAGGCTGAAATGTTTATCTGTTTGTGTGTGTTTATCTAAATCATATAGCAATCATTGCAAAGACGGAGGAAACGAAGATCAACCGTGGGACACCAATGTCGTACCATCACAGGAACGGACGGGATTCAAAGACACAACATATCAAGGTGGGAAAAGCTTAATAGGTGCCTCTAAATTAATTCTCTTTATTCTCCTTAATAGAATAATCAAGATCAAGATGACTGTTACTATCTTCATCTGTACCACAGATATAGTGGGGTCGTGTGGCATAGCGGTAGCTTCTTCGGCCCGGAACCAGGAGATCCCGGGTTCGAACCCCACCTTGCATAATTTGTCACCACCGATCTTGTGCACTTGAGAAGGGCACTTAACACGACTCACTTCACTTAGGTGTAAATGAGTACATGAGTAAATGAGCGACGTCCCTCAGATAGGACCCGTTAAATGGAGGTCCCGTGTTTGGGACAGCCATACCCTACGCATGTTTAAGTGCGAGTGTGTGTGTGTGTGAGTGGTTCAAACCTTACAGTCCTATGACCGCACCTGGGGTCGTATTGAGGTGACCTGAGTTAGCGCCAAATGGCAGCCGCTCCAGACCCTTGCGATTAAGCCCCAATAATTGTAAGCTCCTCACAATTCAGCCCTTGGCTGCGAAGAGAGAGTAGGAGGAATAAATATTTTTTTAGTGTACCTGGAAGTATTGAAAAAGAAGGGATCATGGACAGATGAGCACCTGATCATATTGACGTTATGGATAAGTTTTTGGTATTATGTGACGTTATTCAATGGTGTCTTCGTAAGCTTCATTGATCAATCATTATGTATCATTCCGTCAAGTAGTAATTAGAACTGATTTCTGTTCTAGTCAATCTACTCAATACAGTCACCACCTTCAAAACGGCGAATCGTCGTTTATTTGCAATGACCTGGACTCAGCAGAAAAACACTTTGCAGCTGCTCTCAAAGTGGTTCATGTCAGAGGTAAGTGAATTATTTAAACTTTGTTAAAAACTAGCAGGAAGCACAATTCAATTAGTCCATACCTATAGACATATAATCATTTATCTCTAATTAATAAGCCTAAAAATACACTGTAAAATTCCTCTTCGAAATGAACACGCTGGTTGGTATCTTTTAAGAGTGGTCTGATCGTATTTAGTGGAGTCATGTGGCGTAACGACAGAGAGTTAATAAAAATAAGTTTAAAAAACTTCAGTGTGCCGTGACGCCATGTCTTGTAATAAAATGTTGGAATAGAGAAATTATTTAGTAGATGCGCTAGATCAGAACACCCTTTACTTCAAATCAGATCCCACAGCCCAGCAGTACCAGAGAGAGGTGGAGCCCCTGTGCAAGTTAGGGGAAGTCTACAGTAAGCGAGGTCGACAGACAGGGGACGGTGGAGACTTTGTCAAAGCAGCAGCACTCTACAATGCAGCAATAGCCAGGTCAAATGGTGAAGTCCTTAATCTAAAAGCAGTTATTAAGAAAGTAGAGACGTCTTTTCTCAGCTGTACATTAGGTGTACATTGTATTGTAAGCCAAGATGACACAGTAAAACACAGGAGACAACTGAAGGAGATGCGGGACCAGATCAAGCTGGAGATGGAAACCATTGACCAGCAGCTGGATCCCTATGTACATGATGAGGACGACCCACGTGTAAAAGAGATAGAGACAAAACGAGTTCAGGCTGTTAGGCAGCTGTTTGAAGATATTGCACAACAGAGGAAGGAGTTCATCAGTCTGCTTATAGAGGAGTGTATTGGTTTAATGGGTCCTCCTCCCTGTAAGTATGCCCTGATAGGTTTGGGTTCACAGGCCACAGGACTGGTAACTCCGTACTCAGATCTGGAGTTTGCCATCTTGGTAGAAGACGAAAGTGAGGAATATCTCATGTATTTCCGTAATCTTACCCACTATCTGCACCTGAAGGTAGTCAACCTGGGAGAAACCATCCTCCCAGCACTGGGGATAAAATCTCTCAATGATTTCTACTCAGACGACCCACTTGACAGTTGGTACTATGACTCTGTAACACCACGTGGGTTTGCATTTGATGGAGCCATGCCAAAGGCAAGCAAGACCCCACTTGGTAGGCAGGGAACTAGGGGCCATCTACCAAGTGAACTCATCCGCACCCCACAGAACATGGTTCTGGTACTTCAAAAAGATGCCCAACTGTACTTGAAAGAAGGGTATCACCTTGCCACTATCTTAAGAAACCCATCTCTGATAGTGGGAGACATAGATTTGATTGACATGTACATGGCCATCACGTTTGAGATTTTACTAGCGGATAAGGGCAAGATGGCACAGCAACTGGCAGAGGAAATACGGAAGGAAAATAAGGAGAGGTACAGGGATGCGGTAACAATCACAGCAAGGTTGATGGATGTCAAGAAAGACATCTATCGTTTCCCGTCCTTAGCAGTGGATTGCTTGGCACTATCTTCAGGCATCATACCTACCAGCGTCTGGGAGACAATAGAAGAAATGAAAAATCAACATGTGATCAGTCCCAACAATGCACACCACCTGACAGCATTAATTAGCATCTCAGCAGAACTAAGGCTTAGAACCTACATGAAAAAAGGTGGACAGGAGGAAAACCTGTCAGCCCTGGCCTCAATTGAAACAGAACTGCATGGACAAGAATCATCAATGCAGTCCAAAAGTACCGGTAAGGCACTAAAACTAAAAGCCGGACTAAAGACAGTTTTCCATTTACCAAATGAAAAACAGCTTTTGAGGTACTACTATTCGGCAATTCCACTGAAAGAAAATTTTGAAGAATTGTCTGGAAAGAAGGCAGGGCAGTTTTCCTTCCTTGAATTTTATGATAATTCACCAAAAGTTAAAGGAATTATGTATTCTAAACTATGTAAATATAGGATGGCCATTGGCTACTATTACGAGGCACTAAAGGGAGCTGTTCATACAGAAAGTGAGGAAATGCTTTTATTTGACCGTCTTGCATACGCTTTGTACAGTGTTGGAGATTATCAAATGGCGATAAGTTACCACGAACAGATACTACAGAGGTACAGAAATATCTATGGTCAAGATACATTCCATCCTGACATTGTCAGCGCTCTTAACAATCTAGGTGGATCCTGTAGTAGTCTTGGTGATTACAGGAAAGCAATTGGTTACTTTCAAGAGGCAATAGACATGTACAGGTTAATATATGGTCAGGGTACAGCACACGAGGACATTGCATCATTACTCAACAACATAGGGTATTGCTGGTACTCTGTTGGAGATAACCAGAGAGCAATCAGATACTATGAAGAGGCACTACAGAAAAATCGGAGAATCTATGGCCAATACACACCTCATCCACACGTTGCGACTTCACTCGACAACCTCGGACAAGTCTGTTGTGACTTGGGTAATTATAGGAAATCACTCAGCTACAGGGAACAGGCACTGCAAATGTACAGGGGTATCTATGGTCAGAGTGCTGCGCATCCTGACATTTCCACTTTACTCAACAACCTTGGAGCAGTCTGGCACTACCTGGGTGATTACAAAAAGGCAGCTAGCTACCATGAACAGGCGCTACAAATGGGCACGATTATCTATGGTGAGAATGCTGACCATCTTTGCATTGCCACCTCGCTCAACGATCTTGGAATGGACTGGCACTATCTGGGCGACAGTAGAAAAGCTATTACCTATCACAAACGGGCCCTTCTAATGCGAAGAAACATCTATGGTCATAATAAAGAACACTCGGACATTGCTATGTCCCTTAACAACTTGGGAATGGTCTTGCATGATTTGGGTGATTACAGAAAAGCAATCAGTTACCACGAACAGGCACTTAAAATGTACAGGAGTATCTATGGTACACCGCACCCCAACATTGCCTCCTCACTCAACAACCTGGGAAGCTCCTGGAACCGTGTAGGTCATTACAGAAAATCAAAAAGCTATCATAAACAGGCATTGCAGATGTACAGGAATATCTTCGGACAAAGTACAGTGCACCCTAACATTGCCATGAGCCTCAACAACCTAGCTTCGGTTTGTTACTCTCAAGGTGACTGTGGGAGAGCACTACGTATCTGTCAAGAAGCTTTGGTCATGGCAAAGCAGATTGGCGAAAGTCACCCGTTAACCAAAACAATTCAGAGGAATCTCACCGTAATTAATGCAGCATTTTGTATATAACACAGCTCCCTACATTCAAACATAGCTATTCTAACTTCCTGTCTGCATCCTTCTAAATTCCTGGTTTCGTTTTTAGATCTATTGAATATATCTTGTTAAACGATACATTTTACACTCCTGTTCTGTACATTTGGAACCACATTGTGGAATCTGTTTTCTGTTCAATGTAACTGCTTTTGTTTAACGACTGGCCACAATGTATATACCCAACTTCTGTATGTTTGGGACCGCATTGTAGATACGTGTAGACATGTGTAGATATGTAAATATTGTATGTTTAGGAATGCATCTATACCAGTCAGAATTGCCCTGAGGAATATGACAGACTGTCATTGAAATGTTGGCTGAATAAAAGACTTGGTTGTGTAAAAAGAGTCTGTTTACTTAATGACTTACCAACCTGATGAAACTATTCACAGAGGATTTAGACATGTTCTTAATTCTTATTTGTAATGTAAAATGCGTAAGTCCTGATAATATTTGAAGGACGTGTTTGTGTACAGAAAACACAAATCAGCACTGGTGCTGTACTATCAAAGGAGACGAAATGATGCTGTTGGGCTTGTTAAGAGTTTAATTTCCATCTTGAATGACCAGCAAGTTTACAAGAAATAAAAACTTAATAATACTTGCATACAAGTATATACATGTAGTTCAACTATTATTTACCAAAGGCTATTACAACTCTAACACAATTTTGTGAAGATCATTTTCTTTTTGAAGCTCTTTTGCCCTCCCCTTTCTTAGGTTTGACCTTTCCTCTTAATGCTCGAAGTCTCGTCATCTCTTCTTTAAAATCTTGGTGTTCATCTCTGAAAATAACGACAACAATAAAAGTTTTTTTTCTGTCTTTAAAAATAAGATGATTAGTAGTAAAATACACTAAGTCTTGTTTATACAGGGCTTGAAATACTTTTTTGGCATCGATACATGCACTGGTGCATGTAACATTAAAAATTTCCTGCACCAGTTTTAATTGCACCATTCTGACTTTGAGAAGTATTGAGAACGGTCAATGCACCTAACCAGTGCAGGTTAGGTGCAGGTAGATATCAGAAATTCCTGCACAGCTCCAATTTTACCTGCACCAACCTGCATATACCCAGTATATGGACCAGTGCAGGTTAGGTACAGGTAGACATCAGAAATACCTGCACAGCTCCAATTTTAGATGCACTAACCTGCATATACCCAGTACATGGACCAGTGCAGGTTAGGTGCAGGTAGACATCAGAAATACCTGCACAGCTCCAATTTTACCAGCACTAACCTGCATATACCCAGTACATGGACCAGTGCAGGTTAGGTGCAGGTAGACAGAAATACCTGCACATCCCCAATTTTACCTGCACTAACCTGCATATACCCAGTACATGGACCAATGCAGGTTGGTTAGGTGCAGGTAGACATCAGAAATACCTGCACAGCTCCAATTTTACCTGCACTGGTAAAATTTAACATCCAGTATTTCGAGCCCTGTTATAGTAATAGTGTAAGCAATGTTGAAGTTCAATGACAAGTTCAATCTAGAGCAGTGTATTGAATAGTCCTTTACTAACCTATACAGTCCCATTTTCCGAAGTTGAGCCATCATCTTGACCAGAACATCATGGTTGGGATAGTAGTCGACAATTTCCCTCTTCAGCCAGATGGGCTTTTCACTGTACATCTTCACAACCTGAGCATGAAAACAGCAGCAGTTACAATAACAGTTATGTTTCAACGTTAATTCTTAGGTCTTATTGAACACATTCATTTTTTGTTGTTGTTTGTACTTTGCCATACATTGTACCATGTACAACTGACGTCGTGCAATTAAGTTCTATTCTGTTTCAACTCTTCTGGGTACTATACTAAATTGGTGTTGCCTAGGCCAAGGAAATAAAATGTTTTGGGGAAAAGAAAATGAACCTAGACAACCCTAGCCTTTTTCTTGATTGACTGCTGTTAAGGCTACAGAATCTTTTATCTGAATCTGAAATGTCATTTAACGCATTTTCTGAAGCAATTTTTATCCTCGGTAAATCGGGTAAAATATTTGTCCACTAGCAAACAGGTGGAGACCTTGAGACAGTTGTGATGAATTGTTAAAACTTTTTTTCTTTTTTACTACTATATATACTAGTTTTAGCCCGTATCTAAAAAAAAAAAAGAATTGAAAAAGAAAATAATCCCTACCTACCGGGCCAATTATTTCAGAAAGAAACCAGAAACACAACTGTTACATTGATTTTTGATATCCAATTCATTTTGAATTTCAATATATACTATTTATTATAGATCTCTGGTAGAAGTTGAATGGTTTTTCTTTACAAATTTCTCTTAGTTTTATCATATCAAACAGGAAAGTATGCCTAACCTAAAAATGTAAATAGAGTATGTCATGTACATTCTAGTTTGGTGTTCAAAACTGTAGAATATTTGAGGAGTCTTGCCATTCAGCTTCTTCCTTTAGACATAGTAAGCTGTCTCAATCTTACTTAAGGCCAAGGAAAAAAAATGTTGTGTTTCCTGTTTCAGTCCAGAAAAAATTAGGGTCGGTAGGTAGGGATTATCTTATTTTATTTTTATTTTTTTATTTTTTTTTTTTAGACTTTGCTGATTGCTGTGTTTATATAAGCAGAACATGATGAAAAATCGATTGTGCAATATTATATTTCATCACTCAGGTACTCAGGTGTCAGATCATGGAGCTTTAAACGGTCGATCAGCTCGAAGAACTTAACAGATGTCCCTAGCCCTTGCAGGGCTAAATTCAGATTCAGGTCCTGATTCAAGTCTACAGGTTTTCAGGGTTCTCCCAGGGATTTGGGAGAAAAAAAGAACAAAAAAGAATTCTAAAGAAAAAAATTAAATCTGCACAAAATTTTAATTGGTTTCTATCCCTTTGTTTGCCTAAAAATCGATAGTGTGATTGTATCAATTTGAAACCCCAAAAAATTAGCTAAATCGGCGATTTAAGGTTATTGCGCAATGGACGTGCCCTATGACCTTCAACCTTTGGGGGTCATGCAGGCGTCAACAGCGCCCTCCCCCATGCCTTGCCAGTCCGTTTTCGTGGGCAAATTTCTGCTTTTTTAGAGGTTTTGCGACCTAAAAACTCACATCAGAGGAAAAATACACCACAGACGACATTTTCATGGTAAATATCGATAAATGGACCAGGCATTTTTCTGTCCCGTTGCCGATTTTGCTGATTTTCGCCATGTGTTTATAATTTGTTTACGTCGATAGCTACCTTTCCTCGTCCGGTTTTATGGGCAAATTTCCGCTTTTTTAGACGTTTTGGGACTAAAAGACCGACAAAGGGGAAAATAAATCATATACATTATTTTTATGAGAAATACTGCTATCATGGACCAGAAATTTTTCTTTCGCGTTGCTGAATTTTTGCGGCCGCCGCATGCTGATGGTGCAGTACGGTAGGGAATTTTCTACGATTAGTTCGTAAATGTATCGGCTTTTAAACTTATTTTCGGAGACGATGGCTTTGTTTTACAAACAAATCAGACAAATTATTAGCGTTGTTTACACGACTTCAAAACGCTAGCGGGGCGCCTGATGTTCCACCAATGACAGCAATTCTCTCGGTAGCGTCGTGCAAAATGTTTTGGTTCAGCAATATGCAGGGGTCCACACAAAAATAAGGCTAGGGTCAGCGTTTTTTTTTAGGGTCGGTCGGGAAACAGGAAACACAACATTTATTTTCCTAGGCCTAAAGATGTCTAGCTCAATACATAGTTCAAGAAGTACATGTGCAGGTATTAGGGTTTGTCAGAAGAAGAAATGTTTTTCTTTACTAGCTGCCCAAGTTGATGTTGACTTACCCTCATGGATTTTTTATCTGTGTTCCGTGTGACGTCTCCAAAGATCTGGGCACTGAGTCTGGCCATCCTCCTGGCATAATTGGACACGCCTGCCATACTCGTAGTTGTAGCTGGAAAAGAAAAATTATATACTAGTCTACTAGTAGGTGAATCAAACACATGCATGCACGCACAGACAGACGGACACACATACACACACACAAACACACACACAATACACACAGACACACACACACAAATACACATGCGCGCATGTGCGCACACACACACACACATAATTAAAATAAAAAATACACACACACAAATACACAGAAAGGCACACGCGCGCGCACACACACATACATTTATACACACACACACACACAAATACACATGCGCGCATGTTTGCACACACACACGCACACACACATAAATACACACACACAAATACACAGAAACACACACGCACGCACGCACACACACACACACACACACACACACACACATAATCTCCAAGCAGATCATACGGTGGCAAGGCAGTATCCATTGGCCAGAGGAGTGTCCATTAGCCACCGAAGATCTGCCTGCAGTCGAAACGTCAAAGGCTATTAACACCTAGTTGTTGCCTACTCAGAATGTGTTTGCCAAGTAGTTTATTGCCCTAACCACCGGGCAAGGCTATTGTCCTCCTTGTGGGGCTGCATGGTTGACTGTTACAGGAAGTCTGTCTATGGGTCACAACACCAACTGTTATACATGTATTGGGCAGTTTAAACAATGGATCCGGAGGAGAAGGTTCACCTTGTGACGTGTTTTGTAATGTCTGGCATGGGGTTTTAAATTTTAACCATAAGTATCCATTTCCATGTTTCAGAAAGCATCACAGTGCCAGCATACAGAATTGTATCTGATTCAGTTAGGGGGGGAACTCCCACTGAGATGTGCGCGGGTGACTGAATTTGTCCCAGATTCAAGCTATAAACCGCTTGTAAAAACCTTAGCGTGGCCAGTTTTTCAATTGCTGTTAATAGGGGCACAAGGAGGGGCAGCAACACCATTTTTGAAAGGAAGTGCTCCTCCCTGTGCGAGTGCAGGCAGATCTTCGGTGGCTAATGGATACTCCTCTGGCCAATGGATACTGCCTTGCCACCGTATGATCTGCTTGGAGATTACACACACACACACACACACACACATGTACACACAAATACATGTATAATACACACACACACAGTTATGAAAACATTAATCTGAAATTGACAGCACGGTATCACCTATTTCTGCCCTCCAAGATCTTTCTAGAAATAATTAGTCGATATTCGAATTCCATTCGACTTTAGGAAGATCTGACTTCTGAGCTCCTCGCCCCCCTCCCCTCTATAATATCAACACTGTTTGTGCACGGATATTACATGTCTCCTGTTATTTTTGGGGTTAATATTTTAACAAAACACTTACCCTTTCAACTGAGATCCTTTCCTGTAGTTCTATCCGCAATTACGTTGCATAAACGTCAAAGTTTATCGCGGCCGATTTTTCTCACAAGGGCAGCGCCATTTTTATTTCAGGTCACCGGAAATGAGTTGGGCAATACCAAACGCCGTATTTACCAGGGGTGAGTGGCTCTCGAACAACTTTAAAAAATCAAAGTTTTCAATCATGCATTGTACAATGGTTTTGATTCAGTGGGAAGATCACATATACGCAGCCAGCATCACATACAAAAGGAATGAAATACTTCACTGCGTTAAAGTAAAAGACAAAACAATAAATCAGAGCCTTGTCTTGTCTCCTCTATCTGCGATCCACGTTCCGCATGGCAGACATCTCAGTGCCCATTTTCGACATGTTGACCACTGTCACAGGATCTCACACACAGTCACAGGGCCACAAAATTTCTTCTTTTTTTTTCAACATCAGGCGAAAATTAGCGCGCGCGCTGATGTCATAAAAATTACTTGCTGTGGCCTAACGTTAGTTCGGATTTAACGTTGTTAACTAGTTGTTAGGGAAGCGAGTGTGGGAGCCCCGGCATACACTATAGGATGGTGCCCAGGTTAGGAGAGAACACAAATATTATAAAACACAAAGAACAAGTACAACCCGTTGTTCCGTCTAAGGACAGTCATGTTTTACAACTTGGCCATCAATACAGACAGAAAAATACATTGTGATGATTTACAAAAACACCACCCTTGTCACATTGTTCGCACAAATATTACTCCGTACATTCGTTAGTACATTAGTACGATCTTCATGTGCATTTCAATGGCTCAGTATAAAAAGAGCGTATTCTGTCATAGCAAGCTCCCTCGCCATAGCCAATATATTGCCATAAAAGTTTTTAAATAAACAACATGCTCATTCTCTTTGACGTATAAGAATAAATACTGGTTGTAGTAGTAGTATTGCAATGACTTGACACATGGTAAAGTATCATTTCATGACCTCACTTTGTACTGTGTTTGTACCCTTTCGCAATCTTTCTTTCAAATTCATTTGGATAAAAATTCAATCTGATTATCTGTTCCTGGCCGACTCTTTTTCCCTCTGAATGGTTCCTGCCCATATAGTGGCATAAAATTTGTGAACCATGAGGATCTTATTATCATTGACCTATAAAAATAGATATACTTACAGACTTCTATATGAAAATATATTATTTCTAAAAAGACCTTATTGGCCTAATATATATTATAATGTATATGATTTCAGTTCATTCTTGAAAAGTCCCAACTTCTTGTTTCGGAAGGACCCGTTTTTTACGCCCTCTCCTGGTTGTCCAGCCACATCGTGAGTTCGCTAGCCACCTGAGAAAGCAGCCTCCTGGTCTGAAAGTCCTGGTACTGGCGGTAGGAGCTGCAGAAGGTGACGTCGCTGGGGGTGACGCCCTTCTGGCAGGCCGACAGCTTCTTGCCGTCGGGAGACTCCCACGGGCAGGGATCGTCGGGGATGTAGTTGACCAGGACCCGCTCTCCTGCGACCACGTCTCGGTAGATGAGCGCCACTCTGGACAGGCGGGGATCGCGGTACGTACCTGGTGGTGGACCCGCTGGTGCCTTTCTCTTCGGCTGGGGTCGGGACTCGCCTTCGATCTCGTCAGCTTCCCTCTTCTGCCGCTTTCGACGGACCTCCGATGCGCCAGCAGTCGTCTTCTCAGACGCTGACCGCTTGACTCTGCGGGAAGAGCGAGCGGCTCGACGGACAGCCCGACCGCGGCTGTGACCGGCCGTGCCTTTCACGTCGCCTTCCCCCTGATGGGCAACAGTTGCCTCTCGGGGCGTCGCCACAGAGTCACGGCCATCATCGGTACGCCCAGTGGTCTCAGCAATCTGGGAAGTGGTTGCTAGGGAGACAAAATGGATAAATTTGGACAAGTTGGACGATAATGGTAACTTAAGATGAGACAATAGAATCATACATGCTTAGAAATGTAGTTGATATGAAATAAATGGATCAGTGGGGGAACGTGGGAGATTATATAATGAAATTACCTCAGTGTCCGAATGTTAGTGACTGTGAACGTCACGCGTGACTAACCATGACTCTCGGTGTGATCCACTTCCACACCGACTGGTTCAGCAAACCAGGACGCCATGACGCTCCAGATGCCAGGACGCTCCTGACGGACAGACGATCTCTCCTTCCCGCCATCACCCTGGCCTACAGCTCGCGTCTTTGTCTCCATATCTCCGGAAAATGTGGAGGAAAGTTGGTGAAAAGTGTCAAGTTGACGTCGCTACACAAGGTCGCGTTCGAATTTGACAACACGCAGGCGCCGCGTCCCATTTGTGACGACTTGGAGATCTAGAGAACGTTCGAACGGAGGTTCGTTTTGAGTAAACAACGTCACTGGGAAAACTCACCACTGCCTACCTACAGAAATACCGTGAGAAACATGCCATGCCTAAAGTAATGTAAGGCCAAGGGCATTCTAAGCTTGCTTAAAATCTGTCAAATAAAGTTCCTTTATTTACTGTGATTGAATCGCTGACAAATGAGACAAAACGTCACGAAGTCTGTGCAAGTGCAGTGCGAGTTTGTCCGTGACGTTGTTTACTCCAAAACGACCCTCCGTTCGAATGTTCTCCAACACGTCACAAATGGGACGCGGCGCCTGCGTGTTGTCAAATTCGAACGCGACCTTGTGTAGCGACGTCAACTCGACACTTTTCACAAACTTTCCTCCACTTTTCCCGGAGAAATGGAGACAAAGACGCGAGCTGTAGGCCAGCGTGATGGCGGGAAGGAGAGATCGTCTGTCCGTCAGGAACGTCCTGGCATCTGGAGCGTCCTGGCGTCCTGGTTTGCTGAACCAGTCGGTGTGGAAGTGGATCACACCGAGAGTCATGGTTAGTCACGCGTGACGTTCACAGTCACTAACATTCGGACACTGAGGTAATTTCAGAATATCATCTCCCACGTTCCCCACTGATCCATTTATTTCATCTCAACTTACCTTTCTAAGTATGTATGATTCTATTGCCTCTTCTGAAGTTACTGTTCAACTCGTCCGACTTTATCCATTTTGTCTCCCTAGCAACCGCTTCCCAGATTGCTGAGACCACTGGGCGTACCGATGACCGCCGTGACTCTGTGGCGACGCCCCGAGAGGCAACTGTTGCCCATCAGGTGGAAGGCGACGTGAAAGGCACGGCCGGTCACAGCCGCGGTCGGGCTGTCCGTCGAGCCACTCACTCTTCCCGCAGAGTCAAGCAGTCAGCGTCTGAGAAGACGACTGCTGGTGAATCGAGGGTCCGTCGAAAGCGGCAGAAGAGGAAAGCTGACGAGGTCGAAGGCGACTCCCGACCCCAGCCGAAGAGAACGGCACCAGCGGGTCCACCACCAGGTACGTACCGCGATCCCCGCCTGTCCAGAGTGGCGCTCATCTACCGAGACGTGGTCGCAGGAGAGCGGGTCCTGGTCAACTACATCCCCGACGATCCCTGCCCGTGGGAGTCGCCCGACAGCAAGAAGCTGTCGGCCTGCCAGAAGGGCGTCACCCCCAGCGACGTCACCTTCTGCAGCTCCTACCGCCAGTACCAGGACTTTCAGACCAGGAGTCTGCTTTCTCAGGTAGCTAGCGAACTGACGATGTGGCTGGACAACCAGGAGACGGTGTGAGGTCCTTCCGAAACAAGTTTGAACCTTTTGAGAATGAACTGATATCAAAGTATATATTGGGCGCCTTTTAGAAAATATGTATATTTTAATGTAGAAATATCAAACTATTTTTATATGTCAGAGAAAAAAATTAAATACCCTCATGGTTCACAAAAAAATCGCCACTAAATTGGCTGGAAAACATCCAGATACACAGAGCCATTCAGGAACAGGTTGACTTTTTATCTAAATAAATTTATGGAAAGAAAATTGTACAAACGCAGGAAAAGTGATGTCTTGATGTTGTGATGACTTTAAGTACATTTGCATGGAATGATGCTACACCATGTGTCAAGTCATTGCAGCACTACTACCACTTTGTACTGATGAGCAATATGTAAAACTATTATATGATGGACTGACATGGTCCAAATGGCTTTGCTGTTGTCATTATTTGTACTGAATTATGAAACAAGCTCCCTTCTCCCCAGCTATGTGTTCAGGAGTTACCAAACCACAAAGTATCCTGACTAACATTCCCCATTCTGCCTGACACTAGCTTTCGAATCACATCACATCACATCAACATGTATTAGTTCTTAAAACTCATTTTATGGAAGAACAAGTGTCCATAGGCAGCAATTCTCCGTGGATTGTTCATTCCTTGACAAAGACTGGAGTTGTACAGTCGAACATTTGGGTGGGAACATTTTCTTGAGTTGGACATTACAGTTTAAACTTGATTCATAATTCTCCGTGAAGTTTATATTTTGTTAATGCATGTAGATAAGATCAACAACACGACAATATAAAAAAATTAACAAAGTCATCTTTTATAACAATATCTTTCATTTGCTACATATTATTTATTTGAAAAGGTATCGTAGAAGGTGCAAACCATAAGTCACAATCCCAACAGATACTCGCAACGATTATACAGAACAACCACACAACTACTTGTGCTACGACCTATTCCATGGGATTATAAAAATACGGGTGTTTCTGAAAGATGCATTTTCGTGAATATGAAAACTGCTACGGTAAAAAGAAAAAAAAATACATCATGTCGGACATAATGGCACATAATGGCCCAAATACAGAGAAATACAACGGAGAGAATCATGACTTTTAGCTGCGAACACATTTCAAAACAGCCCCCATACAGGCGACGACCCACCGCGGTATCTACATGAAGAATTCAAAACAACGTTTTTTTTCCGGCGAGTTCCAAATGCCCTTTAGATGTAGGGGTGCTTCTGAAAAATTTCATTGACCACGAAAACAGCTACGGTATGAATAAAAATACGTTCAACATCACGGACATGCCTGCAGATGACGTATCAAATTACATGCCGATAAAACAAACATGCAAAACCAACTGACCACAATACTCCTGCAGGAGGTAAACCACCTTCGCGGAGTAAAAAAATCTAACGCGGGATCGCATGCGCACAGAGTTTAAACGGATGCGGCGTCAACGATATTCCAAAGGCACCGTCAGTTGTTGGACGTGGAGCGCCCTCTGGCGTCCTGAATGTGAAGGACTGCAGCAGGGCCGAGAAGAACAGGAACAGCTCCATCCTGGCCAGCTGCTCTCCAAGACACACACGTCGGCCTGGAAATAAAGAATGCCGAGCTGTAAGACCAGTAAAAAGCCGAAAAGAAGCTATATAGTCTCCGGTTCTTATAATGATATCTCTTAGCCTGATAGGCTTGCCTGATACTTACCACCTGAAAAAGGCATGAAGGACTCAGGCTTGTTGATGACGTTTCCTTCCGCATCCAGAAACCTTCCGGGGTCAAACCGGTCCGGATCAGGCCAGTAGGCGGGGTCCATGTGAAGGGAGTACATGTTCATCATCACCTGGATCAAAGAATATAGACATGACACCGCTATATACAGACACACTGCAAACATAACATGTTAGCAATAAGTTTGGTAGATTTTTCCTTCATGTTCGAAAGAATTGCCACCGGATAAATCAGATATATTACGACTTTGAAATAAAGGCACCATTTTCGCAACGTTGGAAAGAAATATAACCTAAGGCTTATGAGGGGGTAGCAATACCTGGGTTCCCTTTGGGATGTCATATTCCCGCACTTTGTCCGTCTCTGTGGTGGTGTGGTTAACGAGAGATGCGACGGGCCGGATCCTCATGACCTCCAGCAGACAGGCGTTCACGTAGGGCAGCTGGGAACGGTGGGACAGGGCTGGTAGACTCTCACCAACAACGGCATCAAGCTCCTGCTGAACCTGTTATAATTATATTTAGTTGACGTCACCCTAAAGATACATTGTAAAATGTCCTGGAAGCCGTACGAATGCAAAGAAAACGTTTACCAGCCAGGAGGGCATGCAAAGAAAGGGAACATGTAGTCAATTTAAACAAGAATTTGGAGACCTCCATGAAATATTTAGATTTTGTTTGATGATGACTGTGTTCTCTTCTCGTTCACCATGGTGTCTACAAGTCTTTCTTTATCATGCAAGGGAAACAGCACAAGCTGTCAAAGAGGCAATATATGTAACAAACTAGAGAGGCCGACATTTGCTTGGGAGCAAATACAGCATATTTCAGTCCATCTCCCTCCCACGCAAAAGTGGACTATTCCAAACTTACCCCAGTGTAAAACTGGCAAAGATTCTCAAATAAATGAATTATATACAGTAGTAGTAGTAGGTATGTAATTGAGAACAAAGATGCAAGATCAAGCACATTGGATCTCGAAAGCTTTACTGGTCTTATTACAGGTATGCAAATACTAACAATGATGAGATTTGATACATTTTGAAGGTCTTAGGCACATAAAATTGAATGTGTGGGTCATTCCGCATGACTTACGTGCAATGTGACCTCAGGTAACCCGCAATGGAACACATGTTCCATGGATGGAACCGGCCATTCTTTAGATAGAACATGGAACGGGTACAGCACTTTTGGCCCTTTTTTTGCTGAAAATAGCCATTAAAGTCCTCCAAATGAGTCATTTGGAAGTGGTGTATGCCAAATATGTGACTGCTATTCTGTAGACACATGTTCTAGGTACCCTTATACCGAATTTCAGATCATTTGGTTGTAAAACCAGGGCTCAGGATCCAAAAATCCATTTTTTGGCGAAAAATGCCCCAAAAAACCTTCATAGAAATTTTTCAAAGGCATGTATCAAAAAAATGAAAAAAACGCCTGGGGGTATTGGCCCACTCTACCTCCATGCCAAATTTCAAGTCATTTGGCTGAATGATGGCGGAGTTGAATCCCTTTGACTGTTTGGCAGGAGGAGGAGGAGAAGGAGGAGAAGAAGAAACACCAGAGAACACAAATATTTCATCCATACCATGGTATGGACTGAAATATAACAAACAAAACAGACACACACACAGACAGATACACACACGCACACACACACACACACACGCACACACACAGACACACACACACACACACACACACACACACACACACACACACACACACACACACACCAAAAACAAGTACCCCTAATCAATAGATCTTTGCCAGGCTGTACGTAGTCTGATGTGACATAGACTGACATGTAGCATGTCATATTAACCAGTACCTTATTCTGGATGTCGGGGTTCAAAGTCATGTAGAGCAGACCCCACAGCAGTGTGTTGGTGGTTGTGTGAATTCCCCCAAAGAAGAGGTCCAAGGCCACGTACAAGACGTGCTCCTCCGTCAGACCCTCCACCTTCTCCTGCTTCTCAACCTCCAGCAGGCAGAAGTCCAGGAAGTCTCGCGGGTTCTCGCGATCCAGGTTCTCGCGATGGCGAGATATCTCCTCTTTTATCACATTTTGGATCTTGAAGCTCGCTTTCAATGCATTGATGCCGGGTCTATTCACTATAAAATACCCAGGGAATAGTCAGACATTAAATGCAAAGCGTTTGGTGACAAAATAAGAAAATAGCGCGCCAACTTTGTTCGTATCTATAACCTACCAAACTGATGAAAGCTGTTCATGAGACATGACCTCCACATTCTAGTAAAGCCACAGCAAGTAATTTTCATGGATGACATAAGTGCGCGCATTGATTTTCGTCTAATATTGAAAAAAAATATTGTTCTCCGACGGTGGACAACATGCCGAAAATGGACAAAATGCCTATCGGTTCAGAGTCTGTCAGTGATCCAGCTTGAGGCACAATTGCTCGTGTGTGATGGCAAGTATTGACAGGTGTTGCATCACGTATGAGAGGTATACACATCTACAAGGACAGCTAGGTGATACTGTTAAATACCGGAATTAACACCTCTTGCTTCTGATATCATGTTTTGTCGCCTTAATTCTTGTCACTTACAAATATAAGTTAGCTAATGTACTAAATAATATCCCCCAGTATTCTACCTACCGACGGGAACAAACCGCAGAAAAGGGAAAACGCTGATGATCTGTCCAGCTCCAAGTTCAGTAAAGACCGTGGCGACCGCTTCTGACAGTTCTCGGAACGTCTCGTCTCCGTAGTCATACCGCTTCCCCATCAGCATGGAGCAGATGACGTTTGCAACCGCAAGGCTGATGTCATGGGTGATGTCATAGGGCTCCCCATTGTAATCTGCAATCTGAACCGAATTCGTTTAATACTAGAAATGTAACATTTGCAAAGCAAATGCACAGTGTTTACCTTCGCATATGGTCTGCTCTGTCAATTCTTACTGAAACACATTCACATATATGGAGACAGGAGTCTAAATCCCTCCTACTATAAAATTGCAACATTATGTAACCCAGCACCAGTTACCATGGTGACAGGCGTCAGGTCATTGGCCAGGTCAGAGGTCACTGTTTGAAGAAGAAGAGGAAACTGAGCAAAAACAATATGTTTTCCTTCGGTAAACATAAATATCTGAAATACGATGAGTTTGTCCAGAGGAAAACGGTCTCATCAGGCGTAAGCCAGACATATTATGTCCATACGTCTGGCATACCATTTTCGAGAAGGGATTATCAAAATAATCATGAAATCATCACGAACTACACAATGCATCAAGAAACTAGAAAGGTAACATGTGCAAAGCAAATGCATAATGTTTACCTTGGCATATGGTCTACTCTTAGTCTTTTAATTCTCACTCGAGCACATTTATATATGGTCCGACAGGAGTCTAAATCCCTCCCGCTATAAAATTGCAACATGGTGAAACCCAGCACCAGTTACCATGGCAACAGCCGTCTGGTTCAGGTCATTGATCTTTGATGTTTGGAGAAGGTGAAACGGAGGAAAAACAATATGTTTTCCTTCGGTAAACATAACAATAGTCAGAAGTGAAAAACATATATGATTGATAATGGTATCGACATATTGCTCATGATGATGCCACCAATATTATCACACAAATTATTTGATAGTAGACGTATCTACTCCAACGGAAACATTCAGGATTTTTCATGGTTCATCTTTGGTTTCGTCTTACCCTGTTGCGGAGACAGCTCGCCTCCTCTCGGATTTTCTCCTCAATGCTGCCGGTTCCGACCTTCATGCCCAGGTTCTTCAGGACGGCGGTGGCGAACCTCTTTCTCTGTCTGAACTCAGGTCCCCAGGGTGCACCAACTATGTCTACAGGACCAAATGCAGAAGTAAAGTCTTGAGGGGGGAAAGAAGACGCCTTATTCCTACACATACGGTAATGTTAGTCTAACGAACGTTAGAGCACATCAAAAGCCACCTTGAGACCAATGCAGCTCTCCCGTGCCCTATTTGAGGTTTATCGTCTGAAATGTGTATACAAAGTGGGCATTATAGCTTGATAGATTGAGAGAGCAACGTTAACGTACACCGGAAGAGCCCTGGGAGTCAGTGTATCAATCTGCTCTAGTACGGCAGTAGGACCGCCATTTTTCGATGACTAATGTCAATGGCAAAATCCCATAGGAATGAAAGAAACAACTCTTGCTATGTACTTTTCGCTGTTTCCTCACAAAAATAATCTTAGCATGCTACAAGTTAGTGAAAGAAAGAAACTTTGCCCCTCAGGATAAGGAAAGAAAATGGGGAAGGAATAGTTACCCTTTCCGTTACCAAGAACAGCTTGAGGCAGGTAAATTGGAGGCCTGCATGCGAACAGCTCGGACCTGTCCACGAGCGCGTCCTTGACGGCAGCGTAGCCGTTCAGAACCACCACATCTTCCATTCCTAAATTGACGGTGAAGACGTCCCCGTACTGCCGCCTCCACGCCGTCAGCTTGAGGTGAGGCGCCGGGCCCAAGGCGAGGAGGTGCCCGAGAACGGGCACGCGTCCTGTCGGGTAGGGAGGCAGGTTTCTGCGGCGCTTCAAGAGGAAACATGCCAAGAAAAAGGCCGTACAGAAGACGAGAAAAGACTGCAGAGTCAACCCAGAGATCTGAAAAATCTCCCGGACGGACTCAGCTATCCAGCCGACTACTAGTATCACGGCCATGTTTGCAAAGAATGCGCATCAATAATACCCTTTTGCTAGGGACCATGACCCGAAGAGGTCACCCGACGACTGGTATGAATACACCGTCACAAGACAAAAGCATTGTGATTGCATTTAAAAAACAAGACCAATATGCCTCTCCTGTGATCTGCTTGAAGTCTGTGGTCTAAAATGCACACGGTGTGTTTCTAAGAAAAAAAAAAGAATTCTTACCTTTGGCGCTTGACGATTACAGCAGCTATTTTAAGTGAAGAATGCAGTAGACATAGACGTATACATGGTCGATAACCTGTATTCCGTGACGTGGTGTAACTTAAGAAATGTCGGTGCTTTGAAAAATATTTGGAAGGTAACCTTACCCCAGACCCTAGCTTCTCCCGCAGCCCCCAACATAAAGAACGGAGACAGGTCAACTGTGATACCTTCCAAACATTTTATTTTGGACGCTTTTCAACAGGACCTGCTACAATACTGTTACAAAGCTATTAAAGAATTGTCATGAACCGAACGTTCGAACATAGACATCACAGGAAGATCTGGAAAATGTATGTTGATTAAAGGGGCTTCCCCATTTTGTTCCGAACTTTTAGAGGATGAAATATAAATCTAACACTTTGACAGTTTCGTATTTTCTTTATTATTCTATATTTGCAATGTCCATGTAGGCAATTCGTCGGTCTTGCAACACCATGAAAGTACTTACTTCTTCTACACCATGTGCTTATCCTTTGTTTTACGCTTAGAGCGTCTGAATTCTGATGCGAGTCTGTTTTCCTCCCACCCGGTATAAGCCGTTCTAAACTTCCTGTCTCCAAAGCGTTCTGTTTGTTCCAAGTGTCTCCCATGTGTTAATATCTATGTCCATGTCTTTCATGTTCCGTTTAACGACATCCTTAAAGCGCAGGTGAGGACGACCACGTGCTCTTGTCCCGTAGGCAAGTTCACTGTACAGCAGGTCCTTTGGAATTCTCCCATGTAATCATCGCTTGCCAATAAACACATTTGGTCCTAAATTCTGGTATAGAAGATCTAGGCATGTGTGAAATAAATCTTGCCAGTGAGGTCACGGTAAGTATGGCAGCCGATTCAGAAACTGGCGTGAATAACCTTCTTTTGATAATCAAACAATATGTAATCATTCTTTACAAGTCATCACAAAGCATACGGTTAGAATTATCATAAACTGAGCATGAAGTGGGAAACCTAAGACTATTTCTGTTGATTAAAGGATTTGGAAATTTCGTTTAGAACTTGTGTAGCTTGGGATATCTAGCACCTGGGCAGTTTCTTATATTCTGCCCTATATTTGCAATGTTGGGATTTAATATCATATGGTCATAAATAAGGTCTTATTATCCATTGAGATAAATTCTGGAATAAAAGGCGATAGACAATGACTGTCGTATAGACGTTCAACATTTATGATGTAGATTTAATTGCCTACAATTTAACCCAACCGGTACCACAAGAAAGACAGTGAGAAATAACACAATAAGGAGTTCTTTCTCAGTGCAGTCGCTAGCATTACCACATCTCTAACGAAGAACTGCGACGCAGAACCAACCAGCAGCCTCAGTTTATCCGCATGATAGTCAAACGTCAGCTGAACTTCCTAGGACACGCTTCTACAGCAGAACCCACCGAAGAAGTCATTAAGCTAGGCATTTAGGCCATGTTGATTTGATTATATGGATGGCATCCCCTGGAAATCCCAAAACTGATGCGAGCGTGCAAATAAAAAATTGAATGATAGACTTCGTTTTCATTTCTTCAATTTCTTTTCATAGGAATTGATTTTGTCATTCGACGAAATTAGTATCGTTTTCCAACATTTTTTGGGGGATTTTGGCATATATTTGCACATTTTAAAGCTGCCTCGTACAGTCGTACTATTTACAGTATGGTCGAAAACGTCTTTTTTTTAAATTGGGAACGGACTAAAATTTATACACGCGTGGATGTCATCCATATAATCAAATCAACATGGCCTTACGTATACTTTAGACACCAAGGGTCGCTACAACAATCCTGACAACAATGTATAGGTCCTATTAGATGTCTAGATGCCGATGACGTTGCCAATATACTGGATGCAGGCCAATCCGGCCTCGAATAATAGCGCTTTATCATTTCATTAATAACGCTTGAAAAGGATGACCTGAATTAAACTGACAGGACTGGAAAGGTCAGTCTATTCAATATAACAGCAGCAATGGCGGAGAAACTAGCGCATGATATCAGTCGGGAGTTTCTGGTCTGTCAGATCTGTTTGGACGACTACCGACAACCCAAAATCCTGCCGTGTCTTCACACCTTCTGTCGGCGGTGTCTGGAACGAATGGTCGGGAAGAAGACTAGGATTTTCTGCCCTACATGTCGACAGGAGGTTTCTATATACGAGAACGGGATAGCCGGTCTGAAGGACAACTTTTTCATCGGTAAATTACACGATGTTGTTCGCAATGCAACACACCAAGCGTCTTCTGAAAGGCACTCCACATCCAGGGCTGTACATGTGTGTGGAAGCTGTGGAGCCATGTCCACTACAACCAGGTATCGTGATGATTGGGACGATTTTCTGTGTCAGAAATGCGTTGACTGCGACCGTCGCAAGGGGGCGTCGTCACCGCGGCGAAAAATGTCAACAGAAAACAGGATGGAAGGAACGCATTTAGAGCCTGAACGAATTTCACATTCAGAACACGTAGACCCTGATGTCGATGTCGTCTACTGTAAGTCTTGTCATGACGTCGTGTGTCGAAAAATCAGCCTCTCCAAACACAGAGCACGCCTGCATTCTCATGTATGGGAGGCCGCTGAGAGAGAAACGTCTGAAATCAGAGCGCTCTTGGCGGAAACCGAGAAAGTTGCAGCAGCACACGAGAAGAAACTGCAAGAGCTGAACACAAGACGCGAAGTATGGCAGCAGCAATGTGAGGAAAACATCGCGAAAATAGAAGAGCAAGCCAGGCGGGCTATACAGACAATACAGACGGAAAGGGACGAGAGAATAAAACAGCTCAAACGTGTGGAGACCACCAAAAACAGACAGTTGTTGGAGAACATCGCAGCCGTTACCGTGAGCGCAGCCCGGGTTCGAGGGAGCTGCACATACGCGAGGGAAACCATAGAAAAGGGGACTCCAGAAGAAGTCTTGGCTGTTGCCCAGGAGTTAAAGGAAAGACTGAGACAGTGCTCCAAACTTAGGGCGCCCAGTTTTTCTTAGCGATTTGGACAATGACAGCGATCGCTTTTTTATTCTTCCCTTAGAAACCCAGCAGAAAACTAGCAAAATGTCATCACGACGGCAATCTCTTCTCTCCTAACTGGCTCTATCCAACATGTAATGTCCTTGCTCTGTCAGTTTCATTCTAAACTTCACGACTTGAGCGGTAACAGAGGTTACAGAAATCTGTGGTAACGTAGGTTACAGGACTCTCCAAAAAAATGTCTGAGACTGTGACCAAGTCTTATTCACTGAAAAAAAACACATAAAAATCAACGTTTTTTCCTCTTGTTTTATAATCCCAACCCAGCTTACATTCTTTAATATGTCATTTTGTTTGGGAAATAGACTGATCAATTTCCGCATGTTTTAGGAACCATTGTTGAAACATGACCGAATTCCTTACCATGTCAACCGAGGTACTTTAATCTGGAGATTCCTTATAGTTAAAGCAGTTTTTTTATTGATTGCCATAAAAACACGACAGGTAGAAGAAAAACAAACACGTCCTCCCCAAGGTCAGCCATGTCAAAGTTCAACAGGTAACGCACTGTTGTTCTCGTTCCGCCATATTTACTGTGACTTCACCAGCCAGACCGGCGACTTTGTTTTACATAGTTCTGTTGTTAATAACACAGCTTCTATGCTCGAACCAGCAAAGGGTTACTTTTGCCTCAGAAGATCGCTTTAAGCAGATAGAAGTCTTCAAACGAGCTTCAGTACGGCTACAAAGTGAGGTATGTTGTGAACTTGGCTTTTGGAAGGGCCGCTCTTGAAAGAAACGCAACGATTCGAAGTTAGAATGTATATTTACATGTACATGTATGTCAAACTTGTCCCTTCTACTTACAGTGCTGGGAAGCCAGGAACAGTTTGTATAATTGGGTTTAAGAATTTCATAACTCTTAAGAATTTTGCCACTTTTTAATGGGGAAGAAGGCAGTTAACTTGACACAGGAGATCTGGTTACCACCACCCACGGACAGCACCGGGCCTGCCTAGGGCTTACTGTAAAAACTATGCTGATTAATGCATTACATGTAGTAATATTGTCAAATCTAGAGAAAACCCCATTCCAAAAAAGTTGAAAAAAGTGAAATTGTATAGTGTGCATACTTCACATATTGACGTCTTACTCTCCATAGCTATGTTTTTGTCCTGATGTTTTCGGTAGCCTTTTTTTTTTGTAAAAGCATGACTTAAGAAGCTATTGATTGGTTGCTATGAGATGTGGTTTGGGGGTATACGTAGTTTGAAAAAAAAATAACGACTAGTTTGAGTGTACACGGCAGGCGGTTGCTAACTTTTGTTAAGTATCCATAACTAGTGCGGGATTGGGTTACCGACGCCACGCGCTCGGGCCAAGGGGAGCCCGGCGGTAACAACCTGCAGAAGACCGAGATAGTATCAGGTCACCTTACCCCTTTGTATTGGCCCGGGACTGTAAAGTTAACCTGTTGAAGCTATTAAGAAGCTATTACTAAGAAATGAATTGTAATAAAATCTGGTTGTGGGTAGGTGTTGACCAAACGAACGACTAGTTTGATCATACATGGCGGCCGGTTGCTATCATAAGTGCCCATAACTAGGGCGGTATTGGGTTACCAACGGTAACGCCAAGTGCTCAGGCCCAGGGGACCCTAGCGGTAACAGTAACATGCAGAAATCTGAGATAGTATTACGTCACCTGACGCGTGAACTGGAAGAGTCTGACTATACCTGAACATGAAAGAGAGTCCTTCTCCAAAATAAAATTACACAAGAATATAGTTGAAGGAGTTTCTGTACGTTTTTGTTTTGTTACGACTTTGTTTCTTGTTTAGGACAGGGATAGAAATCTTTGACACCTTCTAGGATATTTGATAAAAAATAACTTGTCAGTGTCCCGTGCAACTCTCTGTCACTCTTAATCTGTGGTGCACGGTGAGACATGCATAGCCTGCATGTATAGCTAACATATGATGCCATATCATTTTCAAGAACTCTGAACCACCAAAAAACAAACAGATACTAAAGCACACCATCCGTTTACGTAGTTGATTATCGTCTGTCTATCAGTAAACACGATGTTGTTCGCAATGCAACACACCAAGCGTCTTCTGAAAGGCACTCCACATCCAGGGCTGTACATGTGTGTGGAAGCTGTGGAGCCATGTCCACTACAACCAGGTATCGTGATGATTGGGACGATTTTCTGTGTCAGAAATGCGTTGACTGCGACCGTCGCAAGGGGGCGTCGTCACCGCGGCGAAAAATGTCAACAGAAAACAGGATGGAAGGAACGCATTTAGAGCCTGAACGAATTTCACATTCAGAACACGTAGACCCTGATGTCGATGTCGTCTACTGTAAGTCTTGTCATGACGTCGTGTGTCGAAAAATCAGCCTACGTTCTCCAAAATAAAATTACACAAGAATATAGTTGAAGGAGTTTCTGTACGTTTTTGTTTTGTTACGACTTTGTTTCTTGTTTAGGACAGGGATAGAAATCTTTGACACCTTCTAGGATATTTGATAAAAAATAACTTGTCAGTGTCCCGTGCAACTCTCTGTCACTCTTAATCTGTGGTGCACGGTGAGACATGCATAGCCTGCATGTATAGCTAACATATGATGCCATATCATTTTCAAGAACACCAAAAAACAAACAGATACTAAAGCACACCATCCGTTTACGTAGTTGATTATCGTCTGTCTATCAGTAAATATCATTTTGCCGTCTTGATCATATTTTTTGGAAGTGTTTTTTTGTGTGATAGAATAACTCAATGAGCTATAATAATAATACATGTAATAATAATTGTTGGTATATGCCAAATTATGAAATTTGACATGTGTGGGACGGTGTTAGATGGTCAGAAAAAAGGATTATAAAAATGTAGTAAACAACATATTCACTTTGTGTTAGCACTGCCACTCACGTTGGAAAGCAAATGACTTTATCTTTTGAAACTTTGTTTCAGAATGGCTGCTCCAATCCGTAACAGAGTGACAGAGGCTGACAGACGCCATTTTGATTTCGTGCAGACGTTACAGCATATATCTGATGAACTAACAATAGAAGAAACAAATCTCCTGAAATTGTATTGTAGACATGTGATTCCAAGAGGTATTGCAGAAAGACTTAATCAAGCGGTTGACGTTTTCGACAAGCTGATAGAACTGGACAAAATCGATCAGGAAAACTTGGACTTTATTGAAGAAATATTGGAAAGAATGGGTCGAGTTGACCTAGTAGTAACCATTCTGAGGCCGTTCCAACCGCCTAACCGAGAGATTCCGGAAAATCCCGAACTGCAACCGGGAACAAGCAGTGATGCTTCAAGTGATGGTGCAAGTACTGATGGTAAGTAAAAGTATATTTTACGACGCGTTAAAAAAACGAACATATTTGCTTTCATATGACACAGTCCTGTCAGTCAGTTTTAACAATGTACTGTAATATTGTTGACACTTTTATTGCTTACAAAATACTTCCCACTAAAATTGCTAAGGGTTCTTTGATCATTATATATATTTACATGCAGTTTTACAGTATATGTATTATGTCGTCATTAATTGTTGAAAAATATTGTCACCCCATTAAAAAGTCAAAATTATAAAATTGATAAGTTTGCGGAATTTACAATTTGTTTTATTTTGCTCTACTCGAAAGCTAACATTTAAAATGTTTTACTAAACATCTCCAGGTGATAGAGCCAATGCCTATTTCGTCATTCAAGGTCAAGACCGCATGACCCAGGAAACCGTGAATCGCCATAGATACAATCTACGATCGCTGGGTCCCATTGAGGCCTCAGATGTCATGTTCAGGGGATACAGAGCAGGCAACAGCATCCTTGTGCACTACACCATACCGCGGAAGATCACAGCGGTGCTGAGGCTCATGGCATATCACTCCGACCCAAGACTTGTATTCATGGGCCTCACGTCACTTCAGATCGGCGCTGAAGCACCAATCGTAGTCAAACAGGGGGCGCTTTTTAACGGTATGTGGAACTGGACCTGCAGTATATAGTAGTTTTTGACACATTCACTTAAAGATTAGTTAATTAAAAAAAGGAGCATGGCTCTGCATTCAGAGGGATATCAGATTGCATGTAATTTCTACAAACAACTATTCGGGCTTCAAGTTACAATAATATTTGGCTTGGGTAGCATATAAAATAATGAATCTAATAATCTGCCCAACCTTCTTGCTTAGGAGATATCAAAAGACAGCAAACCGTCGATGACATCCAGGTGGGCTGCAGTACGCGGACAAAGCAGCAGAGGGCGCCCAGGAACTGGACCCGCCTGTCCGCCCTGAACCTGTTCTCGGACGCCCTGCCGCTCCATCTGCAGGTAGCAGCGAGTCTGGAGTACCAGGGCTTCTCCTATAGCCTGGTCCAGGCTCTGGTGCAGAAGGATCAGCTAAGAGAGCAAGAGATGAAGAAGAAGGATCGGCTCAGAGAGCAAGAGATGAAGCAGCTCATCCAAAAGGCAGAAGTGGATTCCAACACGACCTTGCGCTCCAAGCTGAACATTTCAGAGAACAGGTTGAAGGAAGCTCTTGAGGCGAACGCAGTTCTTGAAAAGAAGCTCCAGCAGGCCCATCAATTCGCAGAAGTGGATTCGGGTACAAAAGAAAGACAAGAGTCGACTGTGAAGGACGCAGACAAGAGCACGGAAAGAGATGAAAACAAGGAAACATTTGTTGCGCAGCGAACTGAACAAGAGCGACACGCGTTAACAGTGACAGAGGAATCAGCACCTCCTATGACTGGAGACTCCAAAGACGGTAAGATCACTTACGGCGGGTCGGGATCAGAACCTGGGAAATTTCGGTTCCCACGCGGCATTGTGGTGTCGTCTAGTAACGAGATATTCGTGGCTGATACAGACAACAGGCGAGTCCAAGTCCACACCACAGAGGGGGTTTACCTCCGCCACTTCCCAACAGTTGTACCGGGTACAGAGGACAAGAACTTGAGGCCACATGATGTTTCTGTGGATGGTAA